TCTCCACTTGGTTTGGTGCCTAACCTGGAGACAGCTGGGAATTCGATTCAACAGCAGTTTTGGTTAGGCTGGATTTTGACCGCCTTTGTAGATATCACGGCTCAGCCCTTATTGAGGGGCCAGTTGACTCTCTTTTCTAACCATGATTTAGCATGTATTCCTTAGCCGAGGAGCAGATGAAGTGATTGAGTTTAGGGGCCATGCTGCCTTTAACAAGAAGTAGGATTTAGAATACTAAAACCAGTTTGTGTTTGGTGGGTTTCCACCGAGAATCACGAAACTGAGGTCGTGCTTACACTTCGGTTTAGCAGCATTAAGTTTTTGGGATGGGATGGGGCTAGAGTGAAGTGAATGTAAGTAAATAAGCTTGAAGTAGCATGTAACTGTCTTTTCAGGCCTTAGTACACGTACATATCTGTGGAAACTGACTGCTTAGTTATGATATCAGTGAAACCAAGATTTGTTCACTCTGTTTCGCCTGTAGAACAATTTTGTAACAAAGTCACTTACTTAGACGACAGAAAGACATCATGTCTAATAGTTGATGACAAAGAGGTTAAGGTTTATTTCCAGACTTTAGACATTGGGCTTTAATATTCTGGTAGAGTGAGGTCACAACACTGCTTGGCATGTAAGATGTGCTCAAATATTTGAAGGGATACATGAAGGAATCATGAAATTATTACCTCTCCTGTGGAGAACAGTTTAGAAAGAATTTACTGACAGCAGTAGCGTCCTCTTCGTTGTTATTCCAGATCTTAATAATAACAGATCGTAATTAGATGTGGTTATAAGACCTCTTAATCTTATTTCTGTCTTACTCTTTGTACTAGAGTATGAAGGAACTGGTTTTGTTCACATAATTATGTCTGCGAGGAATGCCCTCTTTCCTTAGCTTGTCCATCTAGATGTTTCTCTTTCTTTAAATCTACCTTTTCCTTGAGTCTTCTGCCCCTCCTTAGTCCTTAGGGTCGTCCTTAGCCATGTAAATGTGCCGTTTCCTGCTCTCCTTAGCAGTTGGGTGCCTTGAGCACCAATACCTGACCTCTCATTCTTGCATACAATTGGAACATGAGTGTTGGTGGATTCTGCTGCCAGTCAGTCCATGTAAAATGGGAAACTCCTAGTACAGTGTAATAAAACAAATAGAAGCATGATACATAAACACATCCTTAGTTTGTGGAGTAGTGAATTATATGATATTCTGCATTGTGGTACTGGGCATAGAGGGTGAAAACCCTGCCATTCCGAGTGTTCCTCCTTTGAACTTGGAATCGTGTTCCTTGGCCTTTCTGATATACTCAGGTGAGATGAGTGTATGCAAACAGTGGGAGGTTTTGAGATTATCTTGGTTAGATACAATGTCCAAATGTCATAAAAAGATTTTCTGTTGAAACATTAGCTTGGAATAATCTGAAATATCCTACAGTATTTGACAGGTGCACATTTACGCAATACCTTTTTAAAAGAATAGCAAATTTGGAAATTATGGGTAGTGAATCATAGTTGCCTCTTTTTTGGCATAAATAACATCTTGTGGGCCAAGGCAGCATGGGGGAAAGAACACAGTTTGGAATAGAAACTAGTTCCACCTATCAGCTTGTGTGAACTTGGTCAAGTCACTTTAGTTCCCACTGAGTTTAAATGTCTTATAGAAATAGCTGCAGAAGAGGGTTTATTTGGGGGGAGGGGGTGTCCTCAAATATAAAACCTTAGACCTCAAGGCACAAATAAAAGACAAATATAAGTTTGATAGGAAACCTTTGAAAGACTATTGAAGAAAGCTCACAACTTACTGGTTTCATTATATATTTAATTTAATTTATTTATCATTGGAGTCTCACTCTGTTTCCTAGACTGGAGTGCATTGGCGAGATCATGACTTAACACAGCCTCTCCCTCCTGGGCTTAAGCTATACTTCCACCTCAGCCTCCCTAATAGCTGGAACTACAGGCATGTGCCACCATGCCTGGCTAATTATTTTGGTTTTTTTGGAGAGGCAGGATCTCCCTATGTTGCCCAGGCTCATCTTGAATTCCTGGGCTCAAGCAGTCCTCTTTACTTGGCCTTCCAGAGTGCTGGGATTATAGGCATGAGCCACCGTTCCTGGTTATTATATAAAGTCAACCTATTTTCAAACCAAAGTTGATGTGAATTTTTGACACGACACAACCTCATATGTGAAAGTCATAAACTTAAATTGTTTTTTTTCCCTCAAATCACTCAAAAAATTGTGTTATGAATAGAGACCCTGTTTGAATTTGGGTTTAAGGTTATCTTAAGCAGTGATCTGATAAGAATTGAGATTTTCGCTTAAGTTTTGAGAAAGCACTTAATTAAGATCTGAATCCTGTACCTTTTTTCATTGAACACATATTAGATAATCATGTTAAACGACCTTCTCTCCCCTACTCCTAACTAAGGAGATGATACTCTGATAAATTAAGATTTGAATGACCATGGAGGCCATAAAACTCCCTAGTTTTCTTGCTGGATACTTGATTTACATACATTGTCTTTAAAAATATACCTAACAATTCAATGATGGATAAGTGATTGCTTTCTTTTGAAGCTAGTAGAACAAAAATTCAGAGAGCTTAGACTCAAGGTTCTTAACCTGAGGTGCAGGTTAGCTGATTTTCTTTGTAATTGCATGTATTTTATTTTATATATGTAAAATAATTCTAAGAATGCTTCAGCATAGCTGGGTTTCAAACCCAGATCTCTCTCTGCTTCTGAAATTTGGGTATGCTCATTCCTTTTGTACTATATTGCTGATAGGTAGGAAGACTTCTCATCAAGCTGAGTTGGGTTTGAGATTGATGTGAACATGGGGCAGAAAGATTGGCCAGTTTAGGGGCGATGTCAGAGGATCTGGATTCTGTGGAAACAGGAAGATGGCAGGCTCTGCCCGTCGTTGTGAAGAAGGACCGTTTTGTTGGTTACAGTGATAGAATATCTATAACCAGGGAGAACGTATACGGGGCCTTGCCACTCAGATGTTCACATATCTGCATTTCCTCTGACTTAGAAAGTATTCAGTAACAGTTGCAAAGTTAAAAGCCTGCTTTCTAGGCAAAGTTGCCTGAGAAGTTAGGATACATGTTTTGTTGTTGGAGGAGGAGGGTAGGGTAGGTCTCACATTGTGTTGGTTTTAAAGAGATAGCCTGTAGACTGGTGAAGGTTTGGGATTGGGAATAGTTGCCTATCAGTTGGGAATTGACTTACTGCCTTCTCAGTGACTGAGAGAAACAAGGCAGGAACCTACTTCAGAGGGAAATTTACTCATTTATTCTAATAAGTGCTTGAGTGCTGATTAGATATTGTGTGGTAAACAAAAGCAGGCAGACTTTGACCTATGAGAATTTATATGTCAATTAGTTAGCCACAAATAAATAATGCACAAATGTGGATAAGTGCTAGGAAGGAAAAGCACAAAGCTTTGAGTACAATTAGCAAGGGGACCTCTCCTGGGGAGAGAGGCTCTTTGTGTAAGGGAAGGCTTGTTTGAGGAGAGGATTTTTGAATTGTGTTCTCACAGATGAATGGAAGTTAACTAGTAGAACAAGGGTATAAAAAGAAGGGATATATGAATGATGTCTATGAAATTATGAACAGAGTTGATAGGTGGATTATAGATTTGTTAGCTAAAATGAGAGTCTTCTTTAGTAAGTGGAGGGATTTTAAATCAAATAAAAATGATGATGCTTACACTGATTATTGAGGTAGCTTATGTAATAATTAAAATACAAAAACATTTAAAGAAGACCTAGAGTAAATTAAGGGGTAGTGTATTCATAATGGATTAAGGAAGCTAGGGTATTTTGGTGCTTTTGTATGACATTAAGGTTTTGGTAAACAATTCTTACTCAGAGGTCACTTCTAGAGAACTCACTTTTGGACTTTTTTTAAAATGTCTTAAAATATTTCTATAAATTATAAGGGTTGTAGGCTTAGGGCTAATGGTGTTTTGCAGGTCAGAAGCAGAAAACATCACAATTACTTGGAAAGCCTTTCTTTCTTTTTTGTTTTTTTGAGGTGGAGTCTCACTTTTGCTCAGACTGGAGTGCACTGACACAAAATCAGACAGCCACAACCTGCTGGGCTCAGGTGATCCCTCCACCTCAGCCTTCCAAGTTACCAAAACTATAGGCACGTACCACCACGCCCGGCTAATTTTTTTATTTTATTGTAGAGATGAGGTCTCGCCAAGTTGCCCAGACCGTTCTCGAACCCATGGGCTCAGGCAGTCCCCTCACCTCAGCCTCCCAAAGTGCTGGGATTACAGGCTTGAGCCACAGCACCCAGCCGGGAAACATTTCAAAGATAGTTTGACTTTCATGTAAGAAGCTAGAGGTAGCTCTGGAAAATTCTGGGGTCGTGTATTAATTACTTGTTTCTGTAGTTAGCAAACAGTAAGTAGTCTAAGACTCCAAACTCAGAGGTAACTTTCCTAGCTCATCCAACTGAAAGAGATATTGAAGATGTGCCACGTATTACATCTCACGCTAAGTTCTACTGAAACAAGAGGAGTTCAGAAGCTGGGGGTGGATTGGGGTGACAGGAGAGGTCATCTTACGATGTCAGGCCAAGTCTGCCTGTGATGTTAATAGAGAATTACCATGCAATGCGATAAGTGCTTCTTTGGGGTTCCAGGTCTATGTCTTTCAATTCCCAAAGTCCACATGTATAATTAACATATGTAAAAACCTGCCATGTGGGGATTGTTTGGGTTCTGGGCTTTTAGAGGTTACTTTGGGGGTACTGACTGGCCCTTAAAGCTCTTGACTTCTGCATCCCAAACTGGTTTAGCGGCCAGAGCTCGGCTCATGTGTGGCTATTTTATTGTGGGCTGTGAGGGGAAGTAAGAGCTAGGAGGACTGCACAACCAGGTAGAAGATCCAGGTAGAATAATAAGGGTATCATTCAACTTGGACATTTGTCATGTGTATTATGTTAGTTAATTGGATCTGCCTTTTTTCAATTTTGTTTGTCTAGGTGTGTGTGGAGTTTGATGGAGAATCTTGGAGGAAGAGAAGATGGATAGAAGTCTACAGCCTTCTAAGGAGAGCATTTTTAGTAGAGCATAACTTGGTTTTGGCTGAACGAAAGTCACCTGAGATTTCTGAACGAACTGTTCAGTGGCCTGCAATAGTGAGTAAAATTCAGGCTTACCAAACTCATGAGAAGAGGGCATTTCATCTAATACGGATGAAACAAGGAAACTGTATAGGTAATGCCAATATGTAAGACAATGTAAAAGAGTCAGAAAAGCACCCAGGATCTCCAGCCAGCCCTGCTAGGAACTCTGCAACTCTGGATGAGCTTCTTGACTTTCTTGGACCTCATTATCTTCACTTGAAAGGTGGGGATGAGGCCAGCCTTATAGAGAAGCACTCCGGGAGGCTGAAGTGGGAAATCGTTTGAGACCAGCCTGGGCAACATAGAGAGACCTTGTCTCTACAAAATGTACAAAAATTAACCAGGCCTGGTGGTGTGTACCTGTAGTCCCAGCTACTCGGGAGGCTGAGGTGAGAGGATTGTTTGAGCCCAGGAGGTTGAGGCTGTGGTGACTGGGTTTGTGCCACTGTACTCCAGGCTGGGTGACAGTGAGACCCTGTCTCAAAAAGAAAGAGGGTGATGGTAATGGGGGAATGTCTAGGTCAGAGGTCAGAAACCATCAGTATGCAGATATACAGATCTGTTTCATTTGGCCCTTACAGTGTTTTCAGAAAATTTGAATTAGTTGCCTTTTTTTAAAATGTAGAGAGTACATCTAAAAATCTGAATTTCCTTTGTCTTCTAAAAAATACTACAAGATATGACAGCACTGGGGCCTTGTGGCAGTTTCTTTTGGCATGGCAGCAGGAGGCTGAAACTGAATAGTGGTCATTCCCTTGCTCCCTGTGAGCGTTTCCAGTCTTGATCTTATGATCAGGGTTCACTGTGGCTCGCAGTATTCTTTGGCTAAATTTAAAGACACTGTAAGTCAGTGTGTTCACATTGTAAGTCTGTGCACTTGAGAGAATGTTTTCTGACTTGATGAGACGTGAGCTAGCGCTTAAAGTAGGAAGGGTCAGATCTGGGTAGTTGGAAAGACGGGAAGGATGATGAAAGCTGATCAGAATGTGCAAGCTTTGTGTGAGGTGCTAGCAAAGTTAAGGTTATACCCATAAGTGACAAGAACTGCTGGAGATTTTTGAGTGACATAGGGTTGTGGTTGAAGTTCTGTTTTGCTCTTTGTAGTTTTTTTTTTCTAGCTGTTAAGAACTGGTTAAAAACATGGACCTGTGTCTCCAGAAAAATGTACCTACAAACATTTTTTGCATACGTAAATATTTGGGAAACCCTGGATCTGCGGACCCAGACCTTTGTGTTAATGACTCCCAAACATGTATCTGGTTTAAATTACTAGTTTTAAATAAGAATTGTGTGATCTGTGGCTGCATAAATAGTTGTTATGAAGTAATTTGCAGTAACTAAAAAAACTTAATGACTTTATCACGTTCCATGTGTTTGGCAAACTGCCAGTTCCTTTTTTCAGAATTATGTTCACAACAGGATGCTAAGACATTTTCTTTTGTTTTGTTTTAGATGTATAAATCTCTGTTGGACAAGGCTGGTTTGGGATCCATAACTTCTGTTCGCTTTTTGGGAGACCAACAAAGAGTATTTCTTTCTAAAGACCTTTTGAAGCCTATACAGGTAAAACATAGAAACAGTTTTAAATCATAGAAATAGAAATACAAACTCTTTTAACATGAGAAGTAAACTACAGTTGACCCCCTGAATGACGTGGGCATTATGGGCACCCACCCCCATGCACAGTAAAAAGTCTGTATAGCTTTTGACTCTCCCAAAATTTAACTACTTGGAAGCCTTGTCAATAACATAGTCAATTAACAAATATTTTATAACTGTATTCTCACAGTAAGTTAGAAAAGAGAAGACATTATCAAGAAAATCATAAGAGAAAATACATTTACTGTTCATTAAGTGGAAGTTGATTATTTTGAAGATTTTCATTCTTAGTGTCATCTTCATGCTGAGTGGGTTGAAAAGGAAGAGGGGAAGAGTTGGTTTTGCTCTCTCAGGGGTGGCCGGAGTGGAGGAAAATCTGCATATAAGTGGACCTGCACAGTCCAAACCTGTATTTTTGAAGAGTCAGCTGTGTTGATGTTGATTGCTCTAATCAGATACCTAGCAGGGGAAAGAACCCATTTTATCACCCGTTCATTGTTAGACATCATCCCTTGGCATTAGACATTGGGTTGGTACTGTCCACTTGGGGTTGAAAAGACAAGGGTACTTTAGCTGATGATGTGTCTGTATGGAAACACCTAGGAGATATGAAAAATAATATTTAAAAGTAAACTGTTATTTATATATAATATGCAGAGATGCCCCCAAAATGTATGTATGTTTTAAGTATGATGTTCATCCAAAAGGTGGCATTAATCAAATGAATGCTGGCATCACTGTCCTGCGACAGGAGGACAGTCCAAGAAAATGACAGAAGCATGGTTGAGTGAACACTGTACCTCACATTGCTACCGTAGTTCAGTTTAACTTCGAAAAGTGATACATATATAATAACATCTCTTAAAATGCATGTGCATACATGCACACACACACATATCATATATATACAGTCAATCATTATTTGTAGATTCTACTCTTACGAATTTGCTTACTTGCTAAAACATATTTGTAGACCCCAAATCAATACTTATGGTGGATCCCAGTCATTCTCAGACATAAGCAGAGCTGCAAACAACTTGAGTTCCCTAGCACAGGTTCTTAGCTGAGGTCAGATAAATGACGTTCTGCCTTGTTTCAGCTCTTGTGCTGTTACAGGTGACTTTTTTGCAGTCTGTTTAGTGCAGCGTTTTGTGCTTTTTTCCAGTGATTTCACTGTTAAAAGTGGCCCCCAAAGTACTACTAAAGTGCTTTAATATGTCTTAAAAACAAAATACATGTGTTAGATAACCTCATTCAGCTATGAGTTATAGTGCTCTTGGCCATGAGTTCAAGGTTAGTGAATTAGCAGTATATATTAAATAAATCATCTTTCAACAAAATCACACATAAAGCAAGGTGACTATGTATTGATAGGTTGATGAAAATGTTGTGAGCAGAAGCTCACAGGAACCTACCACTGTATTTCTGCTACTTTTGATATTAAAGTGTTCTGGCAACTTGATAGAATGTACTGCGAATGAGAGTAGTGTGTGTGTGTATGTACAAGCTTGTAAAATTCCTACCTTTTTTTCACAACATTTTAGGCTCTTGTGATTATTTGTTACAAAAATATTGGAAGGGAGAGGAAGAACACATTAATTTATCTTCAGGGGTCACTATCCTCAGGATAATGTGGTTTTATAGTAACATCTTTTAGATGTCATGTATGAAGCTTAATAATACCCTTTACCTACTTCTGTTTTGTGACTTCATACCTGAGTTGTTTCTGTGGCTTGTAGAACTAGTAAACTATCTATTTGCTAAAAAGCTGTTTAAGTTCAACGGTCATGGACTGCTGGGCCTGTATTGAAAAACCTAAAACACGGGTTTTCTCTGAGTGTCACTTTTACTTTCATATCCAGAAAGTGAGTGAAAGCAAAGTTCATACTCTGAATCTTATTTTGTAATGTTTAAGTAAATGGAATAGAGGAAGATACTTTCACTTAAGTTAATTTCAGGTACAAGTTACCTTCATATGTTAGGTAGTCATCATGATATTTTTCCTGCCTGAAAGGGAAGACTGACTTGCTTGTGAAGGTCAAGTAACATATAGGGGAGTTGTGGATATTTTGCTTTGCTGAGTGATAGTAGTTTTTATTTCTTAGTTTTGTTTTCTGAATTTCCATTTTTCATGTATCTGAGCTTTTCAGTTAAGGTAAAACTCTTGAGATTGAAAAAGGAGAATCTGAATCAGTAAGTTTATATTTGTCTTCAGGGAGATGCCCTATGAGCCATTATTGTGCATGTGGCTGTTACTACAGTATTAACATACAGTTAGCGAGGGGGACGGTAATGTGTGCTCTTGGCTTTTCCTGATGAGAATCACGGTAAAAATGTAGTGCTTCAGGGAGCTGTCTTGTAGATATGGGTGATCTCATCTGCAGCAGGATGCTTGCTCTGAATAACGCACAGAGCGCCTGGAAATCATTTAGCATATGCAGACATTGGGACTGAAATTTAAAGTCTCTCTTTAGATGCAACTTACTCAGTTATCTGTGGAGAAGAAAAGATGAGGTGTCTGGACAACTCTGGCACTTGCCTTGGGCCTTAAAACTCCTCTCTACAGGCTCAAATTATTCTATCTTATTGGAGACCCCTTCATGGCTGTCTCCATTAATATGTTGTTTATCTTGTAGGAATTGGAGAATACAGTTAAATTTTTTGAAATTGTAGGAGCAGTGAGTTCATGAGAAAAAAACAAACCCATTCTGGTTATTATTGTTGATCTCTTATGGAGACCCTAGGTTTGTCTAATGTTGCTTGGTTAAAGAAATGTATTTTCCCAGCATAAGACCCCTCTAAGAGACTAGTTTTCCTTCCCAGTGAGAGAAATGGATGAACCATTCTTGGTCACAGTTTCCATTTCATGGTGACATCAAAGCCTAAAGGCCTAGTATTGGAAGAACTTCTGTGTTTAATGCTGTTTTTTCTTGCCCTGCTAGAATTTGGTTTGGCAGGTTATTCCTATTGACAGTTTCTGTATGCATTTATCATAGCTGGGTGTGCACACAAAGCCAGAAAACTGTGGAATTATGCCAGGAAAGGAGCTGTTGCCAGGAATTGACTGTTTCAAAATTGGCTTACTCTGAAGCCTTAGGCCTGTTCATTCAGATTTTGTTTGTCCTTCCCACCTAACTTACCTTCTGTAAAAAGGAATTTGTTTGGGACACTAGTTAGGTTAAATGAATCTGTGTATAATGAGTTGTTTGTTAAATACAGCAGTTTTTTTATTGGTGAGGAAGCTGAAGCTCAGTCACCTTCTCAGGGCCCCGAAGTAGGGTCTTGGCCTGGATGACCAACATGAGACGTGGTTTAGATCTTCCTTGAAACCACCATATGTGCGTGCTCATCCCCAGAGTGGCTGGGTGAATCCACAGGTTCACTAATGGGAGCAAAGAGAAAAGGACTTCACGTTTTTCTTATCAGTGGAGTTTGATGGAAAGTGATATGCACATCTCTGGAGTTAACCATTACTGTGTAGAGGATTTGGAGAACATTAATTAAGGAAGCATTTTCCTGACTGAGGGAACAATAACACTCAGTTATGGCCATCTATCCCTGTTAGGAGGTTATGCAGGGTGTTACATAGCATGCAGTATGATATGAAGTACTTAATAAAAAGAAAAAGGAAAGAAACCCAAAACAGCGATTTCAATGAATTGACCATATACATTTGTCTATGTGTCTTACCTGTGTCTTTTACCCCTTGGATTTAGATCTGTGATTACCCCATCCCCAGCGTTTGGGATACAGAATGTTTTTTACTTGGATTGAGCAACTTAGTGTCTTTGCTTATTGTTTTCCCATAGCCAAAATTGTATCATACTTAAAATTGTGCTTTCATCCACTTTAGTATTTCTCATACTCCTAGCTTGCGGTGACTTCACTTAAGTCCGTCTTATGTCTGTGATCATGTCATGGTTTTGGATTTTTTGACCTGTCTGGAGTTACAGTGATTCATTGTAGTTTATTGCTGGAGTTGCAACAGTTTGTTGCCATCAAATTGCTTGTTGATACTGTTTCATCTTACCTGATTAAACCGGTTGAAATAGCCACTAGAATTTAAACAACTCTTGTTGTTACCTTAACATGTAATTGTCTTTCATCTTTCAGGATGTAAATAGTCTTCGACTTTCTCTTACGGATAATCACATTGTCAGTAAAGAATTTCAAGCTTTAATTGTGAAACATTTAGATGAAAGCCATCTTTTACAAGGTATGTGGATTATCTGTCAGTGGTAGTTCATGAGTTAACCGATAATTAGCTTGTAAGAAGCCAAAGTTTGGCCTCTCTCACTCATTTGCTGATTGGAATTTCTTATTTCTTTTCCGAAAACATTTTTTAAAACTTAAAAATAAAAAAATGTGTTGCCTTACCTGTCCAGCTAGATGACTGAAAGACTATATGCTAAAGCCTCTAAAATTTAGAAAGTTCAGGGATTGTGTGAAACTATAAAAGTAAAGTAGATATTTTAAATGCTCAGCTATATTTTGACATGGAATTCTATATGCTTGGAATTTCAATCTATAAAATGGATAAGGCATGAATTTGGTACTCCTTACCTTCCCATACGTTATTAAGTTTCTCCAATCATAAGTTTTTTAAAATCAGACTTAGCATTTCTATTGGGGTTCCTGAATTTGGTTCTTCAAAAACTACACAGAACAGAGTTAGATATTGACTAATTGTCTGATAATACTTGGTCTGATACAGCATGCTAAAATAAATATGTCATGCTAAGATAAATTCATAGGAAAATGAAATTTTAAAATAAAGTTTAAATTTTCTTCCATCTTTGCAAAAATGTCAGTCATCTTATGTTTACTTTTGTCACTGCATTTAAAAAAACAGACTAGGAAGGCAACCCCTTCGGGTGTCCTCCTACTGTGGGAGCAGCCCTAACCCTAAACCCTGCTTTAAAAAAAAAAAAAAGACTAGGAAAAGATTGTTCTGGATGTTGATGCTATTAGGAGATAATGCAAATTGCTCTAATTTTTTTTTTTTTTTTAAGGTGACAAAAACTTAGTTGGTTCAGAAGTAAAAATTTATAGCTTGGACCCATCTACTCAGTGGTTTTCAGCAACTGTTGTAAATGGAAACCCAGCATCTAAAACTCTTCAAGTCAACTGTGAGGAGGTAAAGACAATGATAGCTTCCTGTAAGGTAACTTGACAGGGCAAGATAACTATACAATACAAGGATTTATGATCTTCTAGGCACTAAATACCTTGATTGTTTTATAACAACATGTTTGGTAGAAATTGGAATAATTACAGTTGTTTTAAAAAGAAATTATTTGTAAGGAGCCCCAGTGTTATTTTTGAAACTGATTTTCAGTGTGTTCCTGGATGTTTTTTTCATTTTCTGTTATCTTGTTTTATTCATTTTTAAGATTCCAGCACTGAAAATTGTCGATCCATCACTGATTCATGTTGAAGTTGTACATGACAATCTTGTGACTTGTGGTAAGATACATTGTTTGATTAAAATCTTTTTTCTTCTCCATCCCCTCTTTCTTTTTCTCACATTAAGAGAAACAGAGAAGCCAACTTGACCTATTTTTAAATATTTTAGGTAATTCTACAAGAATAGGAGCTGTAAAACGCAAGTCTTCTGAGAATAATGGAAGCCTCGTTTCCAAACAAGCAAAATCTTGCTCTGAGGTAACCTCAGTTTATTTTTGTTGCCTGTCTGAAGCTTTCCCTTGTAATACTGCATGTCTGGTTTTTTTAGTGTTCTGTGGCTGTCTTCTTTGCTAGATTGAGGTCTTGGCCATAATTTCTACACTTAAGCAGATGGAGATAATATAAGTTTCTGGTTTACTATCTTTAATGCAAAAAAATTTTTTTTCATTTTTTGGTTTTTGCTAGATATTCTCAATAGATTTGACAGTTTTACCACATGGAGGTGTTAAAGGTAAATTGAGTTGTTTGTGTCATTGCCTGGCATGAAAAGGGGAGGAAACTTCGAATTCTACATTGATTATAGGACTCTTGCCTCCTCAGTAGTAAGGAAGTTTGATTGGTCATTTATGATTTAGATAGACAGATGTACTAGTTTTCCAAAAGAAGTGGTTGGCTTTCCATTACTAATTTCTGCCCAGGAAAGTATGGGCTTCTATGAATGCTACTGTGGGTTCAGGTACCAGATTTAATGAAATAGTTATGATTTGGACCAAGACTGTTTTTCTCTTAGGTTAATTCAATTATTAGGACCTGTTAACAGTACAGGTAACTTTTTCACACCTTAGGAATCTAAATGCACTTGTTACATGGATAGTTTCCTGTATTATAATTACAAAAACCTTTATGATGCTGTGCTCCAGGCTGGAGTTTAGAACCTTAAAATTGACCAAGCCAATATTGTTAAGATTGTTGGCAACATTCGAGAGAGAACCTTGAGGTCTGGGGAAGCAAGGCAAGGAGAAATGGTCTCGGGAATGGGCCAGGGTCAGTGAACACATCTAGGTTTCTGGATCAAGAACAGATTGGACTACAGGTTCACCTCGAACCAAAGCAAACAATACTACACAAATATTTACGAGTCTATGTAGCTCGTAAATAGTTGATTGGCTTTCCTGAATCTTTTGCCTGTGTGTACAGGCAACAGCAATTGTCCTACTTCACCAAAAGCTTTGGAAACCAAGGTGTCTGAAACCGCTGTCTTCTTTCCAAGGGTAAAGGTTGACCCATTGATTGGAAGCTCAGCTTGGTCAGGAAAGAAGAAAGAAGTGATTATAGAAATTAGTATTATCTTTCATTTTTGCCTTAAAGTTTACAGGGTAGTTTCAAATACATCCATCCAAGAAACTGGAAATACTGAATTGAGTGCTTACTATGTGGTGTGTGTTTGGCCCATGTGAAGCCCCTGTCTCGGAGTTCACAGTGTAGGGAGGAAGACAGACTTCCAAAGGACTCCCACAAGTGCTGAGGGAGTGCTCTGGCAGGGGCTGTGCAGGCGCCTTGGGCAGCAGCCTGACAGAAGCTCTCAGATGAGAAGATGACAGGGTCCTGTTGCTGAAAGGCAAGTGCGTCATTGTGGCTGGGGCACAGGAGGCATGGGAAAGGAGAGGGGCACGGGGTCAGAAATAGAAAGCAAGTTTGGGTTTGATGTCACAGATGGGTGAGTGGGGAAGGGAGGTGCTCAGGGGTTTTAAGTTCCGGAGATTGACTTGAGTTTTATAGATGATGGATGAGTGAAGGAGATGAGAATGGAAACAAGGACATTGGTTAGGCTAGTGGGATGGATTGCCCGTCATAAATAGGCTTGACATGAGGCAGTAGCTAAGGGGATGGAGGTAGGAGGCAGCATTGATTAGATTTGGTGGAAGGCTAGGTGTTAGGGCAGGGGCTGCGGGGAACTGACCTAATGATGTAGGTAGAACAAATGGAATGTCCACCTCATAGAGCACAGAAGTTCTGTCTTAAAAGACTCGACTGATGTGGGTTATCTGTGGCATTATGTAGTCTTCCAGCACATAGAAAGGGCCTGAACCTGGGGAAAATGGGGATCCCTGCTCTAGAAGGGGACAGATAGTAAGACTCCGGGTATGTAATGTGATAACGACTGTCAAGCAAATGGTTACTGTGTCTTACATTTAAGCTCAGAAAGGATACTGTCAAGTAATCCACAGTGTTAGAAGCAGAGAGAGAAACAGGGTAGAATAATAACCTGTTGGAGTCGATATTGGATTCGACATTGGAGAAATTGTTAGCAATCTGAGGTAGAGGTAATCAAGATGAGTCTGGAAAAGTTGGTTGGTTGTTGCCTGTCGTGGGGAATGGTCAGTATAGATAGTTGGGAATGTGATGAAAAGGAGAGCAGTAAGATGTGTTGGATCGTGGGGGGATCAACCTGGGGTGCAGGCAGAACTGAGGTCAGTGGGGACCTCATGCAGGGGAGGGTTCTTCAGAGTGTCTAGTATTTCAGTGACGGGAAAGATTGATTGAGTGAGTGCATTTGTAGCCTTCAAGGAGGTGCTTGTAAAATGTGGTTTTATATGTATGTGTGCGTATGCATATATGTGTGTGTACAGACACACATATCCAGAGGGTGCTAAAAAATGTATACACATTTTAAGAAAAGGAAAAACTGTATTAAAATTTTAATGCTCAATACATACCAATAACAAAAAGATGAAAATAAGTCATGTGTGACTTCTACAACTATAAGAGGCGCTGAAAGTGATTACCATCAGTGTCCAGACACTTTTTTTTTAAATTGGAGTGCAGTGGCACTCTCATGGCCACCCCAGTGGCTACCTGCTGGGTTCGGGTGATCCTTCTGCCTCAGCCTTCCGAGTGGCCAGAACTACAGATGCACACCACCACTCCCGGCTTTTTTTTTTTAATTTTTATTGTAGAGATGAAGTTTCGCCAAGTTGTCCAAGCTGTTCTTGAACTTTAGGCTCAGGCAATCCATTCACCTCAACCTCCCAGAGTGCTGGGATTACAGGCTTGAGCCACTGCACTGGGCCCAGATGCTTCTGATTATGGCAAACTAAAAGTAATACATAGATAGCCCCTCTTAAAATGCATATACATTTTTTTGGCACCCCAGTATATGTGTGTGTGTGTGTATTATCCTCTCTCCCTGACTCATATCCTTGCAGTGTGGAGAGCATGACTTTTTTTAAAATCTGTCTCAGCACGTTGTCCATATTCTCCATACAACCAACTTGTGCTATTTAACTGGTTGTTGGGCACAATAGAAGGTATTAAAAAAACAAGACTCAACTTTAGGCTGGAGATAAGTTCCTTAACTTCTGTATGTAAAATGAGAAACTCAATTTCAGCTCTGTAGTAATCATCTTCTCATTCTAAGGAAGTTAGAGGTGGTAGATTTTTACCTAGGTATTTGAACTTTTAGAACTTCTAAAATTGCTTATAAACATTATCTATAAATCAGTACTTGGGAAAATGTTACTTTCTCAACCTACTGATACAAGGAACAAAGTATGAAAAATTAAACAAAAAAAGAACTTCTAAAATTATTAAGTTACCCTCAATTAAACATTTTTGGTTAACTTAGAAAAGTATGGTTAAAAAAAAGAAACATCACTTGTAATCAACTTCTCAGAGACTCTCTGGACATTTGGAATACTTCCCTCCTGACTTTTTTCCTCCTGTATAGTACAGAGACCTGTTTTTGTTTTTTGGTTTTTAAAACTAAAAATCATACTCTTTGTAGCCTCCTTGACTCCCTTACAGTGTATTATAATTATTATTCTATATCAGTTATATACTCTTTTTCATTCTGGGTGATTCTCATAATCACAAGTTTTGGATACACTGGCCTGGCCTAGGTTTTCGAAAGGGCTGGAGAGGTAAAGGACACAGTGGGAAAAGGGAGCTATTTAAATGTGTGAGTGAAAGGTGAGTACAGCAGCACACTTGGCATGATTCTCACTGTTTGTCCTTCCCAAATGTGGTGGACTGGCACAGAGTTAACTTTTAGGTGGTCTTTGGAGGAGAGGCATTTGGGATTAGTTAGGCAAGACTCTGGCTGCCCTGATAAATACTTCTGGTTCAGATAAACCTGTCTGCCAGTAGCATCTGGCTCCTTGAAGGTCTTCTCTGCCTAGCAGACTATTCCTCAGAGTTCTGACTTTGCTTGGTTAATTGGTTAAGAGTCTGCTGAGGAGTGTGAGCCAGCAGTGTCCTTTTTAGAATACTATCATACACTCAATTATATTATCTCCGTCTGCTGGCAGGGAGGAACTATTGCCATGACTGGTATAGAAGACCTTCAGGGAAAACTCTTCAGGTAAGAAGAAACTTTGACCCTTTGTCAAGTCAGAGGCAAGTGCAGAGGTGTGCACGTGAAGATGGGTTTGAAAATTGAACTCCTGTTCTTGTTGAGCTAAACCTTAGGAAAGTTGTAGAGGGATATACTTTAGTTTCTTAAAGGAAACAAAGCACCCTAAGTTATGCTAATTCTGACACATGGTGACAGAGCTGAGAAAATTTTCACGGTATTTTTCTGCTTTAAGACAGCTCATTTCTAAAATTGATTTTTAATAAGTATCAGGCACTGTGGTTAAGCACAGCTCTATACAGTATGTTTTATAGGAGTAAGCTTCTAGGAAGTGTCAAAACTGGATTCAAATGAAGGTCTAACGTTAAAGTCCAATACTCTTACCCACTGTGGTATCGTGGCTGCTCCTCTCCAAGTCCTTTTCTTGGTGTGGTGAATCACCATTGTAAAGACAGCAAATCCTTCCCTCTTCCCTCCCTTCTTCCTTACCAACCAACCTGCAGATACTTGTTGCATATTTAATATGTGCTAGACTGATCTCCAGTGGTGTGCATTACTGCCTTTCTCTTCAGGTAACTCATAAGACTTATTTATAACCATTTAAAAATATCGTGTGCTAACCACATTCATTCATTATGTTCATTCCACCAGTTTTATTTACTGAGCATCTGCCATATATCTGGTTTTCTGAGCCCAACATTGGGCACGAGAGCAGGGCCTCTGCCCATTGAGAGTGCATGTCCCATTGTGAGAAGATGAGCAGTGATAAAAGGTACTTTCATGGTGTGAGTGCTATGAAAGGTGCCAACAGAGGACTGTGACAAAGAGCAAGGATGGCTTGTGGGAAGAGTAATCAGCGACCCTGAGGAGAGGACATCTTAACAGACTTGCAGATGAAGGGATGGAACCAACCACCACTGAAAACTGTGCAGGCAGAGAGAAGAGCAAGTGCAAAGGCCCAGGCAAGGAAGGGCTCAGTATGTTTGGAGACCAGGAAGGATGCCAGGGTAACTAGAGTACTGAGAGCAAGGGAGAGAGGGAGAGATGGGGTAGGAAGGCAGGCATTGGTAGGAGACTGGACCACATGGGATTCTTGTCAGCAGCGAATGCTGTGATCTTATCCGATTTGTAAAGATCGCTCTGTGGCAGAAGGCAGAGGATTCAACAGGAATGGGAGGGAGTTAGGTCAGTTAGGAGATGTGTAGCTTAGAAAAAAGATGGTGGTAGTGGTGGCATGGAAAGAAATGGATAGAGTCAGCAAGAACTTTGGAAATAGAGGCTGGTTTATTGCTTAGATACGGAAAGTGAGAGGTGTGGAAGGATTTTTGACTTGAGCAGCTTGATGGATGTACAGAGTAAAAATTTATGCTTAGGTTTGTAATCCAAATTTCTTAGGTTCTCGAGAGAGAGTAATGTAAGGAAAAGTATTAGTGCATCAACTCTAAACATATTCAGGATAAGGAAGGTGATAGGAGGATACTTGGTAAAAATGAGCCTTGAATAATAAGCATTTTGAAATGATCTGGCAATTAAAGTTTGGGAGGCTAGTCTCAAATTACCAGAGAATTCTAAAATGTTATAGTCAGAAAGTACTTTAGGAGTAAACTTAACTAATTTCCTCATTTAAAGGATTAGGAAACAGACACAGGGAGGTGGAGTTGATTATCCCAAGGATATTCTTAAAATTACCAAAGTATCTCCCCCAACTCAAACTCAAAACAAAACATACACTCTAGAGAACACTAAGCTGATATTTAACCAAAATTGAATTGGATAAAACAGTGTAATACATGATGAGACAATTTAGCATTTAAAAATAGTTTCAAGTTGCACCAAAACTCTGATAGTGATTAAACCCTTATTTTCCAGATATTTCTACTTAGTGTATACTAGACAGTCTTTTCAAGGCTGCCAGAGTAAATGTGTGAGAAAAAGATTAATGAGGAGAGTACATACAATTATATTCAGAATTATGAGGTTTTAAAAACCTACCAGTGGAAGTTCTACATCAGACTTTAGGCTAGTAACTAGAAGATAAAGAAACTGGAAATTCAAGTTTAGATTTGGTAGTAAGATAAATAGTCACTGTGGTGTTTAAAAGATTATTGAGAAAAGTATATGACTTAAAAGTTTAAGCACATTGGAAGTGGCTGGTGAAGATGGGTGAATTGATTTCACCTGCGTCAGCCATAGACTCATTGTCTTAAGTTTATTTCTTCCTCCTTTTATCATGGTGGGAAGTTTATTTTTGTGGTGGTAGAAACTGATAAGAAGTAGAGTCAGTATTTACATTTTTGTGAAGATAAAATTATATGAAAAGGGAAATGGGATGGGTGCCCCAACTTTGTCCACAAGCTTGTCATAACTTGATATGTTTTGCAGCTTGGGATGACCTTTGTGACTTGATGAGCCACATAAGAGCAAGAATCGTGTCCTCAACCTTTATTGCATTGCAAAGGCTTTTCTGGGTACCCAGTAGGCACCACTGCCTACAAGAGTCCTATGTGGTCTGGTCTCCTGCCGATCTACGCAGTAAGTGCGTGGTGGGCACTCAAGTCTTGTCAAAATGAATGCATGCGAAGCTGCCACCATTTGAGACTGTCACTTAAAAGTTCACTTCTATGCGTTGCATTACTAAAGTAATTGCCACATGACTGTTTTCCTGGCATAGTGATTCAGAGGTCTGAAAAAGGCAAGCTTATGATTTGTATAGGAAGATTTAAGTTTCAGCCTTTAAATATGAGTCCTTAATTTTGTGATTATCACTTGTTTTACCATGTCTTGTTCTTTGTATTTGGTGATAATGGTGTTGTGCTTGTTTAGTATTAAACAAGCAAATCATCTTGAACTTTGCCTGGTACTTTGTAGTTTCCCAGTTGGGAACTTCTTTTCAATATCTACCGGTTTGGTATCTTTTAGGCCTCTCCCGGTATGTGTCCTGTGCAGTCTGTTCCCACAACAGTTTTTAAGGAGATTCTGCTTGGCTGTACTGCAGCAACTCCACCTAGTAAGGACCCAAGACAGCAAAGCACACCCCAGGCTGCTAACTCTCCACCTACCCTTGGAGCAAAAATTCCTCAAGGGTGAGTAGTGGTTTGTTAAAGATGTTTAATCGTAGTAATAAACTGTCTAGTCATAGTTCATTGTTTTTATTCCAAGGCCAGGGAGACTTTTCATTAGCATTTCCAAAAGGAAAATGGAGAGGTGCTTTCAGAGGTGGCAAGTGTAGAAGGCACACAGAACAACACGGAAAACGGCACAGAAGTGAAAGGGTCATGAGAAAGAGAGTCTTTCCTGAGTTGATACAGCAAGGAAGATCATTTGGAATGCTACAGACATTTGTAGAATAAGTGTCTGCTTTCAAGGACAAAGGAACAGGCTGGCAGCATGTGGAAGACTGAGGTCAGTGGGCGTGTGGAGAAGAGGCCAGACCTGGTTCCAGAGAGGGGTTCTCCTCAGCCCCAAGAGAGTTGACCCGAGATAGTTGGCGAACGTGCTGGTCGAGAAGATCCTAAGAACAATAGACAGTGAGGAAGCAATAGCTGCGGGTGGTATTGTTATTAATTTATAAGAGGAGGAAAATGAATAAGGAATGTCAAGTTTAAGGAAAAAATGTAATAGAAAAAAGGGACTAGCCGGGCTCAGTGGCTCAGCCTGTAATCCCGCGCCTTTGGGAGGCTGAGGTGAGTGGATTGTCTGAGCCCGCAGGTTCGAGACCCACTTGGGCAGGCGATACCTCATCTCTACAATAAATCAAAAAATTAGCCGGGCATGGTAGCACGCGCCTGTAGTTCTGGCTACTGAGAAGGCTGAGGCAGAAGGATCGCTGGAGCCTAGCAGGTCGAGGCTGCAGTGGCCAGGAGCGGCCACTGCACTCCAGTCTGAGTGACAGAGTGAGACTCCAACTCAAAAAAAAAGAAAAAAAAGGGACTTTGCATTTCATTGGGCAAAAACTCTAGGGTGAATTTCCAAGAGATGAAAATTCTTCAAGGATATCTCTAGTAAGATATGTAGGGAAAATACTGAACTGTTCTGTGAGCAAGTAATTAATTGACTTTTATTTATTTTGGGTCCTGATCACTGAACAAACGAATGAAATTATTCACTATCATTGCTGGTTTATAGCAGGGAAGGTTTTTGTGCTGCTGGCGGTTTGATGTTAGTTTTTAATTACAATTTGTGTAAATATCTTTGAAGAATTTGTAACATTTCTAATGTACATATTTAAAAATTTTTATCTTGACATGTTGACCTACCATGAGACTGAATTTCCTAGTTTTGGCAAGCAGCAAGAATGCTCGTTTTATTTCTAAAATTCAAGCATAAACTTCATGTAAGAAAGAGTTTCTCTGAAATTCATTTTTTAAAAATATGGGGAAAAAAAGAAACCTTCAAAATTGACCCTGCACACTTCTAGTTTTGGTACTTAAAGACCTCTGGGCTTCTTATATGCTGAGTATATTCTTTGGTTCCATATGGTACTGTTTTGAGAATAAGTGAAGTTCACTATACTGTAAGTAGAACTACTTTAGGTAGTTACAGATGGATGAGAACATGCAGATGGAATTGAGAATTGTCTTTTTCTGAGTGTTTATGGTAGTTTTGCAGAGCCATTGACTGATGACTTAACTCCAGCTCACAGAAACTTATCCTCAATTCTCTAACATAAGCAGTTTTTTTTTCTTTTTCATACTGGTTGTCTTAGGCAACCAATTTCTTTTTGGAATGTAGTAGAGAGATACAGGAGACCTGTATGCTAGTTTTTCATATTATCTCTTCCAGATGTCATAAGCAGAGCTTACCAGAAGAACTTTCTTCCTGTCTAAGTACAAAGCCTGAAATACTGAGAACAAAACCAGATGTTGTCTGCAAAGCAGGGTTACTCTCCTCAAAGTCCTCTCAGATTGGAACTGGAGACTTGAAAATTCTGAGTGAGCCAAAAAGTGACTGTACCCAGGGGCCCAAGACAAACGCTGATCAGGACAGCGGATTGGAATCTGTTTCACAACCATTGACTGGCCTACCTAAGGAGTGCTTACATACAATGGATTCTTCTAAGACAGAGTTGGAAATTGCCAATACTCCTGAATTGCAGAAGAACCTAGAACATGCACCTTCCACATCTGATGTCTCAGATACGCCAGAAGTTAAGGCAGGTGCCAATAGCAATAGCCCTAATACTTGTGCAGAAAAAAAGGTAGAACCTTCAACTTTAGCTTGCCGATCACAGAATTTAAAGGAATCTGCAGTAAAAGTAGATAATGAAAGCAATTGTACAAGAAGCAACAATAAAATCCAAAATGGTGAGTGTTTCTAAATTTCTATCGGTAAAAGGTAAGAGATGGTAGAGATGTGATATATATCGTATATCTTTTTCTTACCCTATGAGAAAATATATGAAAATGACTTTGTAGAAACAGTTCATACAATCAGAAAAGCTTTTTTTTTTCCTCTCTAATTTACTTTGTTTTGTCTTTTTGAGTCAGAGTCTCACTCTGTCACCCAGGCTGGAGTGCAATGGCATACTCCTGGCCACCACAGCCTCGACCTGCTAGGCTCAGGCGATCCTTCTGCCTCTGCCTTCCAAGTAGTCGGAGCTACAGGCATCACGTGCTAACATACCCAGCTAATTTTTTTATTTATTGTAGAGACGAAGTCTCATCATGTTGCCCAGGCTGGTCTCGAACCCACAAGCTCAGGTAATCTTCTCGCCTTGGCCTCCCACAGTGCTGGGATTATAGGCTTGAGCCAGAAAAGTTTAAAGAAGATAAGTATAATCCCCAAATCTCAGAAATTATTTCTCTTAATATATTGGTATACCTGGTTTCATGTACATAGAAATAAAGATAATCTGTCTTACACAACTGGGTTCATGCTAACAATTTTAGCCTGTGAATTAGTGTAGGTGTCAATTAACACTTTAAGCTGCAAGGATTCCATTATATGCATTTACTATCTAACTTAAGTGGTTCCTATTAGGTGACTCCCAGTTTCCGGTTGTAAGAAAATAGTTTGAAACAAAATCTAAAGTGATCTGGCGGTCACTTCATCTTCAGCCTATCACTGATCTTTCTGTAGCATCCAGTTTGGAGTGGAAGAGGTGACACTCTGTTTATGCTCACTCACATAGGTAGTTCAGATCCAATTTTTTTTTTTTAAAGATGTAGTATTGCTTTATCATCTCTAGAAAAGGGACTTTGTTTTATAGATGTTAGGAACAGGCGGAAACTCACCAGAAAGTATCAAGTTTGAATTATGATGGTGGTAGTTATCAGGAGCTCTTACCAGAATTAGAAGAACCGAATGGCTTCAGCATGTCAAAAGGTTTTGAGCTATTAGAATTTAGATACTTTTTAACACTTGTCAGCTATGTGGAAAAATCAGTATGGGTTTTGTTAACTTTCAAAAAACGTTTTAAAGAAACTGCTCATTTGAATCAAATGAATCTATCCGCAGTTGCTTTTTTATGACAGGCCTCTGAAGTTAGAGGGCAAGATGGGTGGATTTGACTTGCAAGCCTTTTTAGTACAGAGTCGGAGGAATAAAAGAAGAACTTTCTTTGCTTAGCGTATCGATACTTCTAACCCAGCTTCTTCATTCTTGAGGTTTCAGTTAGTTGACATATAGTTAATTGTATAAGATTAGAGTTCCTCAGAAATTGTCACTCTCAAAAGACGGTGAATATTCATGACCATATCCTTATTCTATGTCTTCATTCTTCTGTGCCATCAGCCCTCATACTCAGCTAGTTTTTGAATCACGTTATTTTGATATTACATGAAGAAGCAGAAACAGTAAGCACATGGTAGATACACAAGTTGAGTTTGGAGTCCAGCTTTGTCTCATGTAATACACTGTGCAGCTCCTCTTCATTTAATGTGATTTTAGAAGAAATGAAAAACTTAGTCACGTCCTGGACAAGCACATCCTGCGATAGACTGTGACTTGTGGCTGAGGAGTAGAATGTGATCAGAAGTCTACCAGGACTTCTGAGCTGTCCACTAGTCCTGCTTGTTGGCACAGAAAGACTTGGAGAACTGTTCTATTCCTTTGCTCCACGTAGGGGCTAGAAAACGAGCAAACTGGAGTCAAACATCTACTTTTTTCTGTTTCAATAGATGTGTGGCTCTTCAGAAATGGGCATTGCCTTTTGCAATCTGGACTGAACTCTGAATTGAGAGAATCACTGATGGCATCAACTATTCCTCTCATCACTAAAGAGTTAGATTTAGACAGTTACACCTGCTTATTGCTAGATATTTTAAGCCAGGGCAGAACAGATAAGATAATTTTTGGCTTCTTGCCTATCATCTGTGGAAACCTGGCCTAATTCAAAGGACAATGTCTTTCAATAACTGATTAATTAAAATTCCGCCCTTGAACGACTAATCTCTGTTTCTCTCCTTTCTTACTTTACTGTCTCTTTCACTATAACTGAATAAGAATGTTTAAGGGATCAAGGTCTGGCAGCATCATTTAGCAGTTTACATTGTGTTCTAGTCCTGCTTTAAAAGAGAGGTAAGATTAGATTACCTCCAAGGCAATTATTGTGAAGGTGTTTATTTTGTTTGAAACCTTCTTTGGTTTGGAATCTTCCAATTTTCTCCAAGACTAGCCTCTCCCACCTGTCTTCAGCTGGTTCCCCAGAAGGTGTTTGTTTTTGTCTTTTGTTCATTTGTCTGAGAACTGCTTCCCTTTCTCAGCTCCCTTTGGACCCTGAGAAAGAGCTTTTCTATCTGTTTTCTCTGAAGTGTTCCTTAAGGCTCTTCACTTACAAGTGAATTCTTTCCTGTGTTATTTGCGCTGACACAGCGATTGCTCTTTCCTGTGACATCTCTACTTTTTCTGTCTTTTTCTTTAGGAACCATACTAACATTTCAAGTTCTCCTGTCCACTACAAGTTAAAACTTAAAACCTGCATTTACTCTTAATCCTGAATGGACCATATGTGTGAAAGAAATTGAAGACATGTCAAGAGTCCAGTGACATCTCTTAGGGGCATTTAGGAGATAGCTCTTACTTTGTAGGTCAAGGGGCTGTGCAGGAAAGCTGTTTGGTTTTTATTGTATTTAGAATGCTTTGCTTTTGTGAAGTACTCTCAACACCTTAAACCAGTCTTTTTTGAGTTTGGAGAGTGACAGAACCGATATCCACAAAGTCAGGCCTTTCAAGATGAACCTATCTCTTTGCATTGCTAATGTTGCAGTGAGTTTGAATTGAGTATCTGATTTTAAAAGTCTTCCAAGATATTTCTTTTATCTAGGGTTGTGAATAGAAGCATACAGTAATTTTTAATTTTGAGTCTGGCTGTTGAACTTAGGGTTTTATGTTGCCAAGTGGATACAACAAGCAAGAATTGTTTCATGCAGAGAATAAAACTTTTCCAGTTCTGATGATTGTTTTCTGTCCAACCATTTGTAGAAATTACAGTTGAACCAAGAATGGAGAAGGGGGGTTCTCTTTTGGGGAAAATTGGCTTTTTGGATAGCATTCAGCCAAGTACTGATGTGTGCTCAGAAATGTGAGGTCCTCTTCCTTACTCTTTTGTTTTCCCAGCCCCATCCCGGAAGTCGGTTTTGACAGACCCAGCTAAACTCAAGAAGCTGCAGCAGAGCGGCGAGGCCTTTGTGCAGGATGATTCCTGTGTGAACATTGTCGCCCAGCTGCCCAAGTGCCGAGAGTGTCGCTTGGACAGTCTCCGCAAGGATAAGGAGCAACAGAAGGACTCGCCTGTGTTTTGTCGCTTCTTTCACTTCAGGAGGTAAGGCGTTTTGAGAAGAGCCCAGATAATCTGAGCCCTGTTTCATATTTGTGTTCCTCTTTTGTCAACAGTACCTAGAACTAAAAAGGTAGAAATTGTATTTTTAATCTGTAGATTTGGGGATCTAAATCTTACTGTATGTTATTTACTTTTCGTTCTCTTGTACACTTTTTTTTAAAGCAAAGCAGCCTAAAAATGCAAACTTCTGTTTCTAAAAGTAGCAGTCATTATAGAAAAATGCTGAAGGCTCTGAAAAACCACTACAAGTAACTACTGTTAACTTTTCAGTGCATTTTTAACGCTTGTATGGTCATAAGATGTATTCAGGCATACTTTGTTGGTGTGTTGCCTATACCGTTGGGAATCTTAATGTCCCAGTACAGAGTAGGAACCTCGCGATCACGTTAACATCTGTTTGAAAATGCTTTTGAATTTCTGTGGACGAACTCTTCATGGCGGTGATTGATCATTTATGTAGCCAGTTCCCCTGTCGGTATTAAGATGCTGCCACCGCTACTGCTGGTAATGTTTATTTTGTGTTGGGGTCTCACTCTGTCACCCAGCCTGGAGTGAGTGGCACAATCGTGGTTCACCATGGCCTCAAACTCCTGGGCACAAGCAGTCCTCCTACCTCAGTCTCTGTGCACCACCATGCCTGGCTGTTTGATTTTTGGTAGTGACAAGGTCTTGCTATGTTGCCTAGGCTGATCTTGAACTCCTGGGCTCACGTGGTCCTCTTACCTTGGCCTTTTAAGGTGCTGGCATTATAGGTGTGAGCCATTGCACCTGGCCTATTTTGTAATTTCCGCCACTTGAAATAACGTAGAAATGATCATCTCCTTGTCCACATCCCCTTGCTTTGGGAAGATTACTAGAAGTGGCACTTCTGGGTTGGAAGGTATGTGTATTTTAAGGCTTTGATACACATGTTCTGCCAAATTACTCTCCAGGAAGGCTGCACCTGTGTCTATGTCTACTGCAGGGTCTAAGCATGCTTGTCTCTGTGTCTTTGTCAGCAAGGAGAGACATATCTTTTAAAAACATTTTTCTAGTATTATAAATGGCAAAATTTTGTTTATATTGTATGTTTTTAAAGTCAGATTTGCTTTCTTTAAATTCCTCTATCCTGAGTGAAGAAAAAGGCAGCCTTATATTCTGTTTTTTGTTGTTTTTTTTTTTTTTTCTTTTGAGATATAAATGAATAGTGTTGAATTTTAGATATAATTCACTTTCTCAGATATCTGGATACTTTCAGGCTCACTAATTCTAATCATTAACAGAAGTGTTGACTTTAATTTCTTCCTGTTTTCCACCGCCTCTCATTTTATCTAAGTTAAAGGATTGCTGAAGAGCTGAATTAAATGCACAGGCAACTTAGATCATTCATTGTCTGTGCTCTTCACTTTCAGATTCATGCTTAATCAAGTAGAGTTTTTTAGATACACGTTTGCCCCATTTATTCCCGTGTAAATTGCAGAAGCACATGATAAAGTATGTGGGTAGCATTTAGAGCTGTGATACTGTTAACATATGTTAACACATATATGTATTAATACATTTTCTGAAAAATGCCTAACCCAGAATAAGCTCTCAGTAAAGGTCTGTTCTATTCTACTTCCTCTCAAGAGAATTTTTTCTTAAACACATAAGTATGTTGCAGTGCATATGTGTTCGTACTTTTTCATCTTTTGGAGAAACCACAACATGGTTGTACTTTGTACAGGTCTTTGTGTTCCTGCTGTAGACTTAATTCATGTCATCATGGCTCCTCTGCTGTGGCAAGTGTACTGGACTGTATGAGAGATCAGTGTCTGTGGCAAAGGCATTTTAGAGAGGGGCTACCTTTTTTTCCTTTCTTCTGAGTAATAATATTACTGGAGGTTTTTTCTTCTTAAGTATACTTGTGTAGCATTCTAAAAGTCATTGACCTTATGACTTAGCTGTTTTTTCAATTTTGACTCTTTGCGATTACCTCCCCCCACTGCTTTCACATTTATTCTTTTCGTTTTGTGACTACCTCTAATGTGGACTATCAGTTAAAAACTTGGGTCTCTTCTTTGAATGCTTGAAATAAATTTGCATCTATTTGGCAATTCCTGGTCTTTTGTTCTTTAAATTTATTCTGTACTCTTCTGGACAAGTTGTTTTTCTAAAACACAAGTTTGGGTGTGTCTTACAGGCTCAGAGTATTGATAACTGCCAGTTCCTAGTAACGAAATCAAGGTCCTTGGCAAATGCTGAAGGCTTTTAGAACTTGACTCCAACTTACTTTTCCGACTTCTTCCTGAGTTCTTACCTATTTGAATAAACCCTTTGGTGTAGTTAGTCTATGTTACCCAGTTCGCCTGTAGTTTTCTTGCTTTTGAATGAAGTACTGTTTCTCGGAATACCTTCTTTTACTTAACTGCCTTTTCTTTCAAGGTGAGCTCAGCTACGTCTACCATGGAGTCCTAACATTTAGCCCCACAGAACTTGTAGTCAGCTCCTGTAAGAGTTAGTGACTGTCATAGCATCTGTCACAGCCTCCTTCCTTGTGTTTTATGTCTGCTATGTCTCCAGCTAGAAATATTTACTTATCTTTAGAGATGGGTCTTACTCTTGCCCAGGCTGGAGTGCCGTGGTGCAACCATAGCTCACTGTAACTTCGAACTCTAGGCCTCAAGCAGTCTTTCTGCCTTGGCCTTCCAAAGTGCTGGGATTACAAGTGTGAGCCACTGGGCCCAGCTGAAAACACACAAAAAATATTGTTTAAAAGTTTAAAAGAAACACATAGTTTATAAAAATATTCCAGCATTAGAGACCATTGGCAGCAGGTTCTGTCTTACTCAACTGCTCAGCTTCTGAGGCTCATTTCATGCTTCCTCCTCCGAGTCCGCTTAGTGATGTAGCTGGGGGTCACACGGGTGCTGAGTACCTCACAGCCAAAGGTGGTCCTCGCCTCCGGGGCTGTTCAGGACTGCCCTTCTTTTCCTAGCACTAGTCTGCAAGTAGTGGTTGTATTGGACTATGATGAGAAGCTGGGACACTTTCTAGTTATTGTTGGTGTACTTCTGTAGTAACTTGTGATGTCCTTTGCCTTTAAGTCCCAAGTCTAGCAGGTTGAACAGTTGTCCCTAAAGGCAGTATCATTATATCCTGGTTTGAGGGCAAAATATACTTCTCTCCCCCTCTTCTCCCCTTCTCCCCCTCTAGCTTGTCTTTTGGGGGAAAATTTACATTTTATAAATAATTCTACTGATATTGCCAAATAATAATTGCTGTAATTAGCCGTGGAGATTACAGAAAACTAGAAAGGACTTTGTTGCTTTAGATACTACTTAAATAGTAATTACAGGATGTAAATCAATTTTGTGTGTGTATGTATGTGTATATATGTTTACCTACATCTATATAATATATATATATATATCTATATAGATATATCCTTTTTGCTCCCGCTTCCCCTAGGTTACAGTTCAACAAACATGGTGTGTTGCGGGTAGAAGGCTTCTTAACACCAAACAAGTATGATAGTGAAGCAATTGGCTTGTGGTTACCTCTCACCAAAAATGTGATGGGGACTGATTTGGACACGGCAAAGTACATCCTGGCCAACATTGGAGACCACTTCTGTCAAATGGTGATTTCTGAAAAGGAAGCTATGTCAACTATTGAGCCACACAGTAAGAACATCTCTTAGGGGGTAGGAATTTTGAGCCCAACCTGAGTTCCAGTTGCTTAGGTTTTATTTCCATTCAGAAGTTTAGATGACTTTGGTAAAATGAGGTTGCATTTTTCCTTTTGTAACAGGTTTCCTCAGAGTCGGCTACCTATCTGTGGGGTTTATTTTGAGCCAATTATCAAAGGAGTGGAATGCCTTTTTTGTTAAAAAGGGTAAAAGTGAGGTGGAATTTCACAGGCTCACCAGCAGTGCAGGCTGCCTGAAAGGAGATGTGATCTGAGATTGCTTTACTTTAAGACAGAGGCTCTTAATCAGGAATACATTTCAAAGAAAATAAGAATGGGTAGGCTTTTCTCTAGACCTGTGGATCATTGTGTGCAGGGCTGGGTCCCAGGCATGAGAATGGGAGCAAGCTCAGATGGAAATGCTTCTTTTGGGGTCAAGGTTTAAGGAATACTTGGCAGGTCTGGCTGGGGTATGCCTGAGTCCTCCTCTCTCTGGGAGCACTCTCTGATCTGGCAGCCCAGCAAGCCTTGGGGGCCAACTGGGTGACACATCAGAGCCAGAGCTCCTTCATGACATCTCACAGTAGGATGTCTGGAGGATAACACACTTCTTCCTGTCACGTGCCTCTGCAGAAAAGAGTTATGTAGCTAGAGGCGCCACCAGGCATTTGTTTTGCAAGTCTCACATTTTCTTCCATCATTGTATCTTTCTCAAGTGGTGGAACGTTAAACAAGAAGCCTTTCCATTCCTCTGGTGTGTATATTTTTAGACTTTTTGAACTGAGAGTGTTTAACTACAAGTTTCCGCCCCAGCCTTAAGAATTTTGGTTGTAGCTACCAGCAGCTAAATGAAGCTAGCTTAGACACAGAAATAACTTAGAGGATACATATAGATACATCTCAGAGTCCAAGAAGGGAACTAGGGCATTCCCAGTAGCAGGACTCCAGAGCTGGGTGGAAGTGGGGGTTGTGAACTCCTGAAGCAACCAGAGTCACACGGAAGGGAAGAGCAGCTTCAGAATGACTGTGTTTTCCTGGGGTGGGAAGGACTCTTAGAAGTCAAGAATCTTTGTAAACATTTTTCCCTGTAACTTACTTAAGATAACTGTTACTGGTTTTCCAATTTCAGTAGCGATACAGAGCTATTGAATACACATAAATAAAAGTAGTAGATTTAAAGACAAATTCTGAAGTCACTGGTCAGTGGTATATAAATGACTGCAGTGTGGAAACGCTGTTTTGAAATAATGAATAGCTTGGCTTCTGAATCAGCAGAGCTGTTATAAGCAAGTGATGTTTTTTTCTTTTATAAAGGTGACTCATCTGAAAAATGTAGTTTTGTTTCCAGATGGAAAAAGGCACAGTCAGTCTTTTAGGAGCATAATTAAGAAACTGTCCTTGAAGATTTAAATGTGATTAACCTTTCCTCTGTGCCTTTTTGATTATCCTGTCCTCTTTCTTTCCTCTTTGACAAGCTGGTCAGATTGGAGAGAGAAATTCATTGTGAGTGATACTGAAACATGTCAACATACCCAGATGGGTTGTTCCCAATCCTGAGATCAGGAAGCACATTTCCACCATGAAACTTGTATTCTGTCCTTTCAGCAACAAGTCATCATTAAGTGGGTGGCTAAGAGATCTGAGAGGACTTTCTAATAAAGCAGTGTAACCCAGGTGATCGAGGTATGAAGTTCATCAATGCCATGTGTGCAAACCTGAAGCTCTAGGTATTGTGCCCCGGGCTATTACCTTATCATTAAATGGCAGAAGTTTACTCAGCAGCTGGATAAATTTGGTGTAAACTGAAGTTTGATCATTTGGGTTGTGCTCAGTCTGAAGAAAATGAATTAGCCACAGGCTAGATTAGGAAAAAGACTTCTCTATGGAACAAGAATGCAGCAGTATTGATTCAGTGTCGTTCAAGGGAGTGGCACCGACTGACTGGCTGGCTGGAAGGAGTCTTCTGGCCAACAGACGTTGGACTTTTCTGAGACCCACCTTTACTCATACCTGAAGCTTTCTGGTACCTGATTTGGCACTTCTCATGCTGAGGGAGGTGAAGTCTGGTGGTCTGTCCTCTCCTGGAAGGCCTCTCCCTTCAGTTATCAGCGGCCGCAGGAACAGAAAATGCTGCTTTATAGAATCCTGGTTGTGCCTTTATCTGCTGAATGTGTGGTTAGTGTGAGGCAGTTCTGGGTTCCTACAACACTCCTAGTACTGGCAAACTCGAGTTTCGGCCCTGGCTGGTCAAGGAGCTACCTGGGACCATTGTGCCTGCACTAAGTTCGTGTGCTGCTTCCTCCAGGCACTCGAAGCCCACTGGGATGTTATAGGCAGTCCAGGAGGATGTCGGACACCCATGAATAACCTGGTGCTCTGTGCTGATTGTTGTATTTTTAGATGAGTGAAGTGTTTTTTTCTCCTCGAGAAAGCCTGGCCCAAGCAGCCTGTAGAGCCTCAAAGGGACTTAGGATTCCAAAGGCCGAGAACCACTGCTGCGTGATGCCGTGTCTGAGATCCAACTTGTGTCACAACTTCTGTACAACCTGAGCAGGGATTCTGCTAGAATGGAAGTTCAGTCTCTTGGGGGAGGTGAAACTGTGCCCAAGTTTATACAGAGTGAGGAGGCTTGAGTCTGAAGTACCAACACAGGTTGATGGGAGAGTTGAGGGAATCCAGGAGAGCTTCATGGGCGAGGCAGCATTTGCGATGACGTCTGAAGAAAGTACATGGGAACTCTAGTCACAGGAAGCGATGATGACTCCGCTTACAAACCTTCCGTGTTGATTTCAGAAGCCTTCTTCTTACCCAAGACTAAGGGATTTATTGATTTTTGCAGGACAGGTTGCTTGGAAGCGAGCTGTCAAAGGTGTTCGAGAAATGTGTGATGTGTGTGACACCACCATCTTCAACCTGCATTGGGTGTGTCCTCGGTGTGGGTTTGGAGTGTGTGTGGATTGCTACCGGATGAAGAAAAAGAATTGCCAACAGGGTGAGAACTGCCTCGATTGTCCAGCCCCCTTACACAGTTTCATTAGTGGCCTTTTGTTGATTTCTGGTTGATGGATTTCTTGAGGCACTTGGGGCCAATCCATTAAGAACAGTTACTGCAAATCAGTTGTTCGCACAGACAGTCTTTTAAGAGCATAATGGAGAAACTGTCCTTGAAGATTTAAATGTGTGGCTTACAGATGCTGCTCACAAGACTTTCTCCTGGCTGAGGTGTGTGAAGAGTCAGATACATGAGCCGGAGAACCTAATGCCCACACAGATCATCCCCGGAAAAGGTATGCCCTGTGCTGCAGTGCTGCTTTCCCCTGGTCTCAGCTAACTCTGAGGCTGGTAGTTGGGTTTGGTTTTGTGCAGCGAGTTATTCACTTTGTTTTCGTATGTACGGTAAACTGTCCGGAAGTGTATTGAATAATGGTCCTGATGCTTTCTGATCACAGTCTTGTGGATAATTTTGTGGAAGAAAAGAAAATGGTGCCTTGTGGGGAAGGCCCACATGGCAGGATGGAAAGGAAAGGGTGGGACAAGTCATCCGTGAGAAATGTGGCTTCTGCTCTGCATGTTAAGGTTGAAAGTCCTCAGCACCCTTTTCTCAGATGTTTGCCTCTGCCCTTTTTTTAGCCCTCTATGATGTTGGAGACATTGTTCATTCTGTAAGAGCAAAATGGGGAATAAAGGCAAATTGTCCGTGTTCAAACAGGCAGTTCAAGCTCTTTTCAAAGCCAGCCTCAAAGGAAGACCTAAAACAGGTATGATTGCTTATCCCTTCGATTGTTGTCTGTTTTTCAAATAACTCCAGGATTTCTATAGTGCATTTGAAAGGAACATGGAGCTGGCTGTCAGTGGAGAGAGAGAGAGAATTCATACATTTCCTGTGACCGTTCAGAGACCCATTCTCAGTGTTTTTTATTTGTTTCCCAGGCAATGGCATGCTAACAGCTCACCACAGCCTCTACCTCCTGGGCTCAGGCAGTCCTTCTGCCTCAGCCTCCCAAATAGCTAGGACTATAGGCATGTACCACCACACCCGACTAATTTGTTTATGTTTTTGTGAGGTCTTGCTGGGTTGCCCAGGCTGGTTTCAAACTCCTGGAATCAAGCGATCCTCCTGCCTCGGCTTCCCAAAGTGCTGGGATTACAAGCATGAGCCACCAAGTCACTTTCTTACTTTTCACGTTAATTTTTGTGGACCTTATCTGTGGCCTCTTCTGATAGTAGGTTTTACATTTTTGTTTCTTAAGAAACCAGAAACCTCTTCTATTATAGTCTACTAGCAAGTTACTGTAGAATTTGTTTTTTTTAACACTTCATTAATTTACAGAATTAAACTTATTCAGATAAACTTTAATAGTTTAAAAGTTACTGAATATATTTTGCTGATGTTTTTGAAGAGTTGAAGGAAATAGCAGTGAAATGAGCCTTTACCTGCCACTCATAAAAATTGTATGTCTTCTCGGTCCCCATATGCCTCTTCATGGTGGTATCCTTCTCCTCCCCACTGTCACATCTGCCCCCTGCTGTCCCCTTTCTCCTTCTCCCCAGTACTCATTATCCTTCATTGTACTTCATAATCAGAAGTTCACATTTTTATACGCTGTGGTGTCGCAGGCAGCATGGGGAAGTGGAAGAGCTATGATCTTGAGTCAGAACCGAATCTGGGTTCTTTTTCTGCCGCTTTCTAGTCGCGATTGGGCATTACAGAATGACATCACATGTAAAGGGAGGGCCTGGACCACACAGGAATCTGAATATTCTTTTTCCTCCTCCTCCTGTATATACAAACTCACCAGCTGTGTTCCTCCCAGCTTTTTAAAAATTTTCTTTAACGAGTCATCTTAGATTTATGAGTTCTGTTAAAAGCTCCTCATACATTTTAAAGCTAAATCAAAAGTGTTCTCTTTTTTTGCGTCCCATTTCCTTCTGAAATCACAACTTTACTTTCCTGCCTGCCTCAGTTATTCATTCAACAACCATGTCTTGAGTGCCTATTCTGGATTTGAGGGGCGAGTTCACAGGGGAGACAGGCACAAAGCTGCCATTTAAAGCCATGTGGTGCGCCGAGTGAGAGGGATGTGTTACCCCATGGGATGGGTGTGCTTACAGGTCTGCTCTGCTACAGTAGGATTCCTGCAGCTGTGGTGGCATCCAGGGCTACTAGGCAGTTCTGTTTCAATCCTTATCACCTATGGTTGGCAAGCCGTTATGGGAGAAGGTAAGAAAAGGACAGTGTAAGTCTTCAGGGTGCGAAATCCTCCTTCCATGCTTAACACAGGCTTCCTTGGCTGGAGAGAAGCCGACTCTTGCTACCGTGCTCCCGCAGAATCCCTCCATGCTAGAGCCAGCAGCCATGGCTGGGGAAGCGGCCTCCAAGCCAGCTGGCAGCATGAAACCTGCCTGCCTGGCCAGCACATCGTCCTTAAGCTGGCTGGCAGACCTGACCAGCGGGAATGTCAACAAGGAGAACAAGGGTGAGTGCGGCCCACTTTTTGTGTGTTCCTGGGTACTTTAGTGCATTCATGGAGGGTCTTGGCAACCTCGGTTGCTATGAGGACAGTGGCCAGACGTTGGGTGAAATGGCAAGTGCTTCTTTGTAGTCGCCTTGGAACCTGCCCCAGCTGGAGATGTTCTTGAAATGAAGCACTAAAGAGGAGCAGTTGGCTGTTGCAGTAGAACTCTAGGTGAGGGTGGGATTCGGTTTGGCAAGAATGGGCTTGTTTTCATAAGTGATTCTTGCCTTTCTAGCCTTACCCTATATATGGTTTCTGTCTTGTCTAAGTTGGATTGTGCTTTTGTCATTTGTGCTGTTGTCTCAGATGATAGTATAAAGAATATGGTCTTTGGAATCCGGTAGAGCTGAAATTTAGGGAATTCTGCTTTTTTGGCTGTATTACAAGAGATAAAAATTGCAGATCAATTTTTTTCATGCAAAGACCCTGAACAGAATTTTAGAGACTCAAATTTGACACCATAAAGGAATTATATAGCAAGGTTTTCAATAAATGTAGTGTAGTCTAACATTCAAAAATACAGGAGAGTGGCTGGGCACGGTGTCTCACTTCTAACATTCCAGTGATTTGGAAGGCCAAGGCAGGAGGATTGGTTGAGGCCAAGAGTCCGAGACCAGCCTGGGGAATATAGTGAGACCCTGTCTCTGCAGAAAATAAAAAAATTAAGTGGGCATAGTGGCATGTGTCTATAGTCCTAGCTACTTGGGTGGCTAAAGGTAGGATATTGCTTGAGCCTGGGAGCTTGAGGCTACAGTGAGCTGTGATTGTGCCATTGTGCTCCAGCCTGGGCAATAGAGTTGTCTTTATTAAAACATTAAAATATATATATGAGAAAAATCAGGTGATAAGATGCAAACAAAAGTCAGTAAAATTTAATACCTATTACTGTTAAAAACCTTTTAAGATTAAGAGTAGAAGGGAACATCCTTAAAAGTTTCAACAAGAAAGTGACAGCAAACATAAATAATGGTTATTGTTGTTTATTTAATTGAGTGTTTTTTGGTTTTTGGTTTTTTTTAACCAAGCTCTCTGTATTCAGGAATGAGACAAAGGGATACATCCTCTTACCGCCATTTTATTAAGCTTTGTACTGGAAGCCATTAAGCTTTGTACTGGAAGCTGAACAGTGCACTAAAGGCCAAAAAAATTTAAAATGATGTGAAGATTTAATGATGTGAAATTTAAAATGATGTGATGCCAATACCTGTAGACAGTACATGAGAAAAATCTGAGTCTCCATTTACTAAACATGTCTATCAAGGTTACTAGCTATAAGGTCGAGTTTTACAAATTCAGTTGTATTTTGCATACTAGAAACAAATAGAAAATAAAAGTCTTGAAAAGACCTTTACCATACTATCATCTAGGAATTGGAAATGTATTTTAACATCTACTGGGTAAATCAAAAAAATCAGCTGGGCGTGGTAGTGCATGCCTGTAATTCCGGCTACTTGGAAGGCTGAGGTGGAAGGATCACCAGAGCCCAGCAGGTGGAGGCTGCGGTGGCCGGGAGCGGCCACTGCACTCCAGTCTGGGCGACAGAGTGAGACTCCAACTCAAAAAAAAAAACATCTACTGGGAATCCTTATCTAAAGTAAATAATGTCATTAGTACTTATCCTCTTAAGTTTTTTGGTTTCAGTAAACGGAAAGGAAATTCTAAAGTAATTTTGTTAATAGAATTAATAAGGGATATGCCTTTCAGAATGCTTTTGAATCTGAATGGTTTTGGCTTTATTGTAGAAAAACAAACGATGCCGATTTTGAAGAATGAAATCAAATGCCTCCCACCCCTCCCCGCTTTGAGCAAATCCAGCACAGTCCTCCACACCTTTAACAGCACAATTTTGACACCTGTGAGCAACAACAATTCTGGTTTCCTTCGAAATCTCTTGAATTCTTCTGCAGGAAAGGTGTGTGCTTGTTTTACTGCTTGACTCACTTTGTAAGGTTGAACAGACACAGAACCAGAAAAGACTAGAGAGACTGAAACAAACAGAGAAAGGAGGCTGTGAATCACAAGCCTGCCTTAGTGGGTACAGACAGCCAAGTCATTGGTGGGGTGGGCTGCACAGAGGCACTATACGTTCTGGGCGGGGCCGGTGTGTCCTCTGACACTTTCTCCTGTATGCACCTCCGTGAGTTGCAATGCCAGGTGGGGACAGGGGTGTGCCCTCTGCTGGGGGGTTCCTGGCTGGGGCTCTTTTCTGGACATGTAATGTATACTCCTCCTACCTTTATAGGGATGAGGTTTCTTTGACAGTAGGAGCAACACATTTAAGACTTGTGTTTTTCCTCAAATTCAGACAGAAAATGGACTCAAGAATACACCAAAAATCCTTGATGACATCTTTGCCTCTTTGGTGCAAAATAAGACTTCATCTGATTTATCTAAGAGGCCTCAAGGGCTGACCATCAAACCCAGCATTCTGGGCTTTGACACTCCTCATTACTGGCTGTGTGATAATCGCTTGCTGTGCCTGCAGGATCCCAACAACAAGAGCAACTGGAATGTGTTTAGGGAGTGCTGGAAACAAGGGCAGGTAATGCAGCCCCTGGCTCCCCAGCCCACTCGGAGCTCCCATCTCAGTTCCGTTGGCAGACTTCTGGTAACCCCACACCCCGAGCCTTTTCCCTCTCCGTTGTAAATGATAATCGCCTTTACCTCCTGTTTTTATACGTTATTGTTCGGAACAGATATAATTAGGGCAGGGAGTGTGGCTGTGAGTCTTATTTTTATAGCAGATGTCCCTAAGCTGCCTTTTCCGGTCAAGTTTTGGCGGCTTCCAGCCAGTCATCATTAGATGTTTGATAAGAGCATCCAGGCTTAGTGATTCTTGTGTGGTGAACCTCCACAGGGGACGTAGGAGTGGCTGAGAGGCTCATGGGCTTGGAGGATCAGATAAAAGATGGAAATAAGATCACTCATCTCTCTTCCCTGAGTTAAAACCTTGTGCTGAAGGCGATCCTAGGTGGGCCAGAGCCATGTGACATGTGATGTCATGTTGGATTCAGCACTTAGTCCCCCAGGATGCCTTCTTTAAAGAGTGATGCTGGTGGACGTGAGTTCTGGTTGATGTCTTGAGAAGACTTTGTAGGCCTGCTCCTGGCTCTGTTTTGGTTCTGTTTTCTGGGTCTTTGGCTTCCCGTGTTGGCCAAATGAGGTCCTTGCTAGAGGAACGCTTGGCTCTTTTAGCAGAGTAGAATTCGGGAGAATTGCCAAATAGAACAAGGTGAATGTTTAACCACACACACAAAAATTGTTTCTAAAAATGTTTTTCTCTGTGTACTAATAGGACTTGCTCATTTAATTGTACGAGGTCTGACAGTTAAGTTCACAAACTCATCCTAGAAAAAGTGCTACATTACCTGATTGCTGAATACCACGGTGGTCATCTTCAAAGTACTCCCCTTGGGAAGCTATGCACCAACACCAGCACTTAGTTTACCCGTCAAAGCAACTTTGGAACTCTTTTTCTGGATTGGCCATCAGAGCTGTCATATTACCCTTGATATCCTGAATGTCATCAAAATGTCTTCCTTTCAGTATTTCCTTTATCTTCAGGTACAGAAAGAAGTCACTGGGGGCCAAATGAGGTGAGTAGGGAGGATGTTGCAATATAGTTATTTGTTGACCAGCTAAAAACTCCCAGTTTACAGACAGTGCTGTGTAATCTGGTGCTTTGTTGTGATGCAAGAGCTCCTTCGGGACCATTTTTGCACACACCTTTCTCATGCCAAGATTTTCAGTTGAGATTTTCCTGTTTGTCTGTTGATGTTTATTTGGTCTGCTGTGCTTCTCCCAGTCAGCTGACGATTTTGACACACAGTTGGACACATTTTTGCAATGTTTACTTTGCTGGCCATCCTGACCCCTCTTAATCAGTGACACTTTCTCTCCCCTCTGAACAATATTCTGTCCATTTGTATACTGCCATTTTCTTCATGGTGATAATTATCCCCATAAATTTGGACTAACATGTCCCTGATTTCCCTTCTGTTCTTGCTGTATTTAACAAGAAATTTAGTGTTTGTTCGTCGCTCTTACTCAACTCTGACATTTTCGTGATGACAGCTCTGATGGCCTTTCCCAAAAAAGAGTTCCAAAATTGCTTTGATGGGTGGTCTAGGTGCTGGCGTCAGTGCATAGCTTCCCAAGGAGAATACTTTGAAGGTGAGAGCAGTGATACTCAGCAATGAGGTATGTAGCACTTTTTCTAGGATGAGCTCACGAACTTCATTGTCAGACCTCGTATCCATGGAACGCAAGATGGCAGGCTGGCTATAGTCCATTAGCAGGTTATTTGGATTACACAATGTCATATGTACATTTTTTACACAAACCTGTTGCCAATATTTTAAAGTTAGGCTATTTCACATAAAGATCAGGATTCCTGGCCTATCCTGGATGGCCAAAAGACAGGCCCCCTCAGGTCCATATTCCTGCCTGGCGATAACAGGCCAAGGCCAGTGCTATCACTCTTTTTGGACTGGACCCTGCTGCCGGCCCTTGTCTTTGTCCCGTCCTCCACCTTGCCATGAGTAATGGGATCTGAATTGGAAGGGTGAGCCTCTCCTAGGAGCATAGTCATGTGGTTTCTGGGCAAGGGTGTGCAGCCAATGAATGGCAAAGATGAGAGGTGCTGTCGGAGCTCAGAGAGCCAGGCCTAAGCCACCGTGCCGCCATCAGGCTGAGGACCAGACACGCGGAAACAAGCCTGCAGCCACATGGAAACGGGTCCGTAGAAATAAGAGGGACCACGGAGCGTCAGGAGTTGAGGCTGAAGTCTTTCTTCTCTTCTCTTAGCCAGTGATGGTCTCTGGAGTGCATCATAAATTGAACTCTGAACTCTGGAAGCCTGAATCCTTCAGGAAAGAGTTTGGTGAGCAGGAAGTTGACCTGGTTAATTGTAGGACCAATGAAATCATCACAGGAGCCACAGTAGGAGATTTCTGGGATGGATTTGAAGATGTTCCAAGTATGTATGAAGGATCTTTTAATCTTTTTCACATTGAGGATGTGAAAGAAGGGAACGTAGGAATAGCAGGAGTCTGAGATCCTTCAGTGGCAACAGCAGCATGTCCCAGGTGTTGGAGTTTAAAATTAATGTCTATCTTCTCCTCCCCTTTCTTGCTACAAAGTTTATACTTTTGAACTCCAAGGCATTACCTTGGACAGAACACCAGGTAGTGTCACTCTCTCTAAACAAAATAAGTTATTTCTGTTTCATGCTGGCCTCAGAAAACTGCGTTTATTAAACCATCTGACTTTTCATTGTTAAAGTGCATTGCTGTTGGTTAATTGGAGGGCTGCTTGTTTCTTTGCGAACACTGTATGGGGAAAAGTAGAACTGGATCAACAGTTGAATCCACACCACTGACCTGTAATGGGCAAAAGGGAGTGGCTGAATCTCAAAATACAAGTAGCAGTTTGATAAGCATCTAGAAAAGACAGGCCCTAGTACAAAGTGATTAGTCAGTGGTCTTTATTTTGCTGCACCTTGCTGCGTTCTGGGTACAAATGGATTTCTTGAAACTGTAGAAATAAAATGGTTGGCAATTGGCAGGAAGGGACTATTAAGGAAAAACAATGTGTGCGCACTAAATGTATCAGGTTATTAAAATTTTGCAAAGCTAAATAAATATATTGTGTTTGCACAGTTAAGACATAAAATGTTACTTTGTCACTTATCTTGGTCTGAGTTATGAATAGTACCAAACAATTTCTTCTTACCTTTCAGATCGTTTGAAAAATGAAAAAGAGCCAATGGTGTTGAAACTTAAGGACTGGCCTCCAGGAGAAGACTTTAGAGATATGATGCCTTCCAGGTATGAAGGTGATGAAGGTGGGGAGAGAGGACTCCGCCCTTGACTTGGGAGGATAAATTATCTTTTGAGGTAGTGAGAAAACCATTTTCAGGGACATGCGAAAGTTCTCTAGTTTTCCTGGTGATTTCTCATTTCTAGTCTGTAGTCTCTGGAGGCATGTCTGTCTTTAAACAAGAAGCTGTCAACTTTTCGATCTGCCCGACTAATGGAAATGCCACACATTTTCCTTCCGTGGTGGTGTTCTGCTAGAGAAAAGGCTGATGTAGGCTTGTGAGGCTGGTGTGGAGGCGGGTGTGGGCTCCAACGGGCCAGGGTTCGGGTCAACGTGGTTGCGTCACACTGCATTGGGTAATGGAACGTGCAATGGGTGGATCCAGTTTCCCGATGTGAACTTGAAACCTGAGAAGGATCCTCACAACTAATCGGTGCTACATCCCTGAGTGTCACTTCTTGTCATCAGTAATGTATTGTTCAGACCTTCTGTCTGAAATACTCCAGGTTATTTTGACACATTGTGGGTTGTAGTGGAGAAAGATGCTTCATTCGTAACTACTGTAATTCTAATCTTAATATTATTAATGGCTGTCTCCATCTTCATGATCACGGATGAGTTTGTTCCTTTCGGTACATGAGGGGGGACCCAAGAAAACCTGGGATTATCTTTTGGAAGGTAGGCCCCTTGTAGTTCAGGCTTCTCCCAGTAGGTACGTGTTCTAGGAACCCATCAGCTTCAGTGTACCAGTTGGTGGTGGTGTGAGAGGCTGTGTTCAGCTTCAGTGAATTTTTTTTTAGAGATTCTTCCAATGCGTTTGCCCATTTCATGATGGGTAGTTTATAAGCACACCTGCCCACTGAGACTTTTTTTTGGTTGCCCCAAATGAAAAAAGTCCTCAACAGGAAACATTTTGCCAATGTGGAAGGGGAAACAAAAAATGGCAGAAGCACTGAAAGGCATCAAAATTGATGCATTCAGAAACTGTTCTGAGCAGTGGAGAAGGCATCTTGATAGGTGTATTACATTAAATGGAGAGTACTCCGAAGATGACTAAAGTCTAAACATAAACTTGTGTAAAAATTGTGTATAAGAATAAATACACAATTTTTTATAAATAAATTCTGGGTTTTTGGGGGATACCTTGTAGAAGGAATAAAATAAGTGACACAATAATGAGTCAGAAAGGCAATCTTAATTTGAAAATTCCTGGTTCTTTTCGTCCTAGGTTTGACGATCTGATGGCCAACATTCCCCTGCCTGAGTACACAAGGCGAGATGGCAAACTGAACTTGGCCTCTAGGCTGCCAAACTATTTTGTTCGGCCAGATCTGGGTCCCAAGATGTATAATGCTTATGGTAAGGAGGAAATGGCTAACTTTAAAAAGTGATAATGGAAATAAAAACAAGTCAAAATGTTCAGAAAACTGATTTTTGGAGAGGGAGAGATGGAAAGAATCCATCATCCAGATACTTAACACAGTAGCAGCCTTCATTTTTACATATTTTCTTTCATTTCTTGGCTCTGTGTGTGTGTGTAATTTTTATAGTTGGAGTTGTATGGCACCTGCAATTTCATGTTTCTACCCCTAATCTTATGTTGCAAAAACTTTGTGTTGCTTAATAGTCTTTAGTATGATCATTTTTAACGGTTGCATGATATGTCATTGAGAGAATATAATTAGTGGTTTCAGTGATGATGGACACTTAGGTCAGTCTGCTATCATTGCGATGTTTTAACATGTCTAAATCTGAATGCAGTGTTCTATGTTGGTGGGTACACACTAGTTACTTGAGGAAGGATTGATGAACGCTTTGAATTGGATTTTTATTATTTGTGCATGACTCAGTAAACTGTCCATCGAGGAGGATTGCTTGGCATAAAGATTGATTTCTGCATTTACCAGAGCCTTCTTTCATCATCATTACTGTGACCTCAACCAGTTTTACGTAGGGTCTTGAATTTGGGCTGGATTAAAGTTGGCGATTTTGAAGGAATTATTTACCAGTTTATCATTGAATGAAGTTCAGTGAATCCTTCACTGAAGTTTTGAATCCTTCACTGAATTTCATTTACTCTTTTATACTCTTTGGCCCCCACTTTTCCAGCCTTCTTAGTAGAATTACATCTTTGATTTTATTTCTTCCTCGCTTAATTACGTCTGTGTCATCTTCCAGCTCTGATCTCTTAGACCTAAGGGTGTCCTTCTGAAAAAGGACAGAGTCTTTGCCATGTTCTCCAGAGACTGCTGGGGGAAGGGAGGTGGGAGGGGCATGAACCCCGGCCACATAATTCTTCTGTTATGGTAGAGTCAGGCCAGGGATCACCAGCAGTGTAGCTGGAAGACATTCTGAGAGGGGAGTGTTTCTGTTTGGAAGTCGCCAAGCGTCCTCATGCCCAAGACTGTCTTGCAGGGTGAGGTGAGAGAAGAGGCACAGGCAGAAGCCCCCTTGCCGATTCCCTTGCTTCTTGGGTTTCCTATGCTGTGGGTCTGCAGCCTGTTTCCTGGCTGAGTTCTTATCCCTTGATCCCTTCAGAGCTGGATCAGAGAAGCTGGATGGCTGGGATCGGGCATCCTGTTTACAGTGAGAGCTTACAATAGACTTGAGTGTATGAAAGCATTTTTCCGATATATGGAATAATGTCGTATACACAGAAGTCATGGAGCTTTAAAGGATAGAAGGTGGGTATCTGAGAAGCTGTCGAAGTAAATTGCCTGCTTGGCTGAAGTAGCTTGGCAGCAGGTCTCTCCCCTGAGACACTAACAGATGGCAGTGTTACTCTCGCTTTTCCTGTCACAAAATTGTTCCCATCCAGAAGCAAGCATTCCGGGTGGAAAATAGTGAAGATGTGTTCATTTTCGAGCACCCTACACTTTGTCATGAACATTACCGAGCTGTCCTGTGCAGGCTGGGTGATTGAGCTGTGGCCCGTCAGTCACTCCAAGTAGAGTGTGAGGCTTTTTGGAGAGAGCGTAGATCCAGCTTCTCAACAGCTCCCTTATAACCCCCGTTTTACAGAGGTTGGGGACCAGGACTTGACCACAGAACGGGCCCTGACCTGCTCAGAAGGTCTGAGGCACAGCTTTCAGGCCTGAGACTAGAGCTCGGGTCTCCTGGTTTTTAAGCTGGAACTCATCTCCCTACCCTGCCCTTGACCTGGTGCCCATCACCCAACAGCCCCTCCTATTTCAGCTTGTGTTTTTGTGTCAGAAAAGTTAATGATGCTTTGTTTCAGGGTCTCTTGTTTTCTGGGAGTCCTTTCCCTGTGACCAGTATCAGATGTCCTTTGAGCCTGGTGGCTGGATATAAGTCGTTTCCTTGTATCGTGCAACTCCTTTATTGTGGTACCAGCTGAACTAGCAAGCAATCCCTGATGAAGCTCTGAGACCTATTCTTTCCTCACCCTTCCTCCCAGCTCCATCCCTGCCTCTTGTTCATGCTGGCTTGTGTTTACCATTCCCTTATGCAAGGGGGTACCTCCTAAAAAACACAGTTATCTTTTGGAGGGTGGGCCCCTTCCTTGTAGTACAGGCTTCCTCTGCTAGGTAAGTGTTCCAGGAACCCATCTGCATCAGTGTACCAGCTAGCATTGTCATGAGAGGCTGTGTTGCGGATGAAACGTCCCAAGTTGTGGCAAACAGGTTACTGGCTTCTCCACCATGACAACGCACCCGCCCATGCTGAGTGTTCAGCAGTTTTTCACCAAAAACAGCATGATCTCTGTGCCCCACCTTCCCTGTTCACCTGATCTTGCCCTGTGTGGACTTTTTTTGTTTCCCTGATGAAAAAAAGTCCTCAAAGGGAAACGTCTACCCGATGTGGAAGAGGTGAAACAAAAAATGGCAGAAGCACTAGAAGGCATCAAAGTTGACGCGTTCAGAAATGGTTTTGAGCGGTGGAGAAAGCGTCTTGATAGGTGTGTTGCATCAAACAGAGAATACTTTGAAGGTGACAGGTTTAAACTCGAGGAAAAAAAACACAATTTTTTATAAGTAAATTCTGGTTTTGGAGGATTTCCCCTTGTATTTATGATTCATATTTCTGCACAATATTTTTTCAGTTTTTTGCCTGCTTTCAAACTTCCTGCACACCCAGATTTGTTATATTCTTCCATGCTGTCAGATAGTATAACTGTGCTTATTTCATTCATTTTATTTTCTTCTTAAATTTTACTTTTTAACTATGGAACTGTCTTTTCAGTATGCTGAAAACTTGGGAGTCTAGTAGTGACTCTTCATATACTCATCACCTAGTTACAGCAGCCTTCACCTTCTTGCCATGATTGTTTCATTGTCTCCCTCCTACCTAAAGAAAAAAATGCATTTCTTCATCATCTCACAGATCCCGTGATTGCACCCTAGTACCAAGTGTATCACCTACTCCTAGGGCTGATACTTCAGCACGCTGGGAAAAACAGCAGCAGCAGCACACCAGGGCCCTGGTGCCCTGGTCCCAGATTGAATGATGACGTACCTCCTCTACGTACGGCCCCTCTAATGCAGCCCAGGCAGGCCAGAGGGCAGGCTCTCCTTCAAGCGAGATGGGTTTCTTCAGAGGAGTGGCAGGTTAGACAGTGGCCTCTGCTAGCCCACCACACACCCAGTTCAGCAAACAGAGTCCGAATGCTAGGAGAGCCGTCCAGGTTGACTGCGGAGCTTGATGAGGTTCAGCACGATTGCTGATCAAGGATTAGCCAGACTCTGAACACGAGAAAGGACCTCTTGTTCTGGCTCACCTTTCACCAGTCTTTGACGATTCAGAGAACCAAGAAACGTGCTGGGCAGTGTTCCCTCTTATGCTCGGTCTAGCCATTTGAGGTCCTCACTCTGAACGTGAGTGGGTGGCATCTTGAGTGGACCTTGGGCTCTGTCACTTGCCCTCCCGGGCTGTGGCATCCATCAAAGCTTGAGTTCACTTGATCAGGCAGATATCCTCTCAGCAAACGGCGGCTTCCAGAGTTTGCTCTGCTGCTTCAATTTCCTGCTGTGTTTCGCTTCTGAGTATTCCTTTTTTTCTTGCTAGCACATGGGTTTGTCAACAAAATTTCTTTTGCAGTAACGTCATCGTTGTGTAAATAATTTTACTTGTTCTCAGCTGGAGGGTCAGTCAGGAACCTACTTTGCCAATTACCAGAAGCAAGTCTTAGAAGTAGGAGGTTTTTAATAATTAAATATTTGGTAAGAAATCATTTTCTTTCTTGGATAAAAGGATACAAGAATTTAATGCTAAATATTCTTTTGCGTGATTAGAGAAGCAGCTTTTGAGTTTTGTGACCAAATGTCTGCCAGGGAGTCCATGGAAAGACTGTGGCAGCCTTCGATGTTGTCATTAAATTTAAGGCTTCTTTTTTCTTTTTTGCAGGATTAATCACTCCCGAAGACCGGAAATATGGAACAACAAATCTTCACTTAGATGTGTCTGATGCCGCTAACGTCATGGTCTATGTGGGAATCCCCAAAGGACAATGTGAGCAAGAAGAAGGTAGGTTGGGTGCTGAGCATCAGAGTGGGGTGTACGAACTCTGAGCTAGAGCCTGTGGTCTGACTCTTGCTTTCTCCCACTCTAGAAGTCCTTAAAACCATCCAAGATGGCGATTCGGACGAACTCACAATAAAGCGATTTATTGAAGGAAAAGAGAAGCCAGGCGCACTCTGGCACATATACGCTGCTAAGGACACGGAGAAAATAAGAGAATTCCTTAAAAAGGTATGCTCCGCTCTGTGGCACGGGAGCAGCGGCATCGCAGGTAGCAGGGTCACGCTTTTACTCCGCGTCAGGACCTGATTGCCTGGCTGAGGAACTGTCACGCCTTCAAAGCTAAATCTGTGTGTGGGGCATTGAGCAGGCCGAAGGTGCCAGGATTCCCAGTGGTTAGGGCCACACTCCTCAAAAGAGGGAGGCCTTGTCTTTTACGTTCATTTTGTATTAGAGTTCATTTGGAGACTTTTTGTTCTCTGCTTCCAAGTTAGTTTATATGACCATCTCCCAGTGGCTGTTGTTTTTAGTGCCTTGAGAATCTTAGCACTTTCCAAGTTCACGTATCCATCACTGGCCCTGAGCAGGCATGTTCTGGGTGAGTTATTAAGGTCCCTGTGGACCTTAGATCATAAGGCTCTGACTTATGATCCTGGCTCAGCTGCCAGTCAGGAGTCTTGTCCACTCTCAGATAGTGAGAGACTCTACTTGTCATTAGCAAGGGATGCAGGGGTTTGGAGGAGTCGAGGCTTCCCCTGGAGTTGATAGCTCGCTCACAGGGCTCTAGGGGGAAGTTCTGGGCACCTGGAAAGAGGAGGGCTTATTCAGTCTCAGACTTGTTTGGCACTGAGGCTGCAGATTGCAACCCAAGTGTCTTTGGCTGATATTCCTCAGTTACTCATGAGTTTGGATGTGAACACTTGACACCAAGTAGGTTCGTAACAAACTTTAGTTTGAATCAAGGTGTTTCTGGCTAAGGATCATTTGAATCTTTGGGAAAACCTGCTGGTCACCATATTGTCGTTTTGGTGTGGTCACGCCAGTCTGCTTTGCCAGATAGTGGATCTAGAATAAACAAGTCTGATCTGCAGCTGTTTTGGGGACTGTTTCGTAACTCAGATTGTTAAGTGAATAATTGCAAAACAAGTTACTTTCTAAGGGCTTGAGCCTACTGATATTTTTAAAAGTCTCAGGCCAGAATGTTGCCCAGATACAGTCTTTGCACAATCATGCAGAGACTGCCAGTCGTGGTTTATGGTAACCGACAGCAGGGAAGCCACATTTCCTTCGTCATTCTTTTGGTTCTTTCAGTCAAGGTCTTTGAGTACTGCTTGTCTTTTCTGCCAATGGGGGCAGTCAAGTTGAAGGACGCCTGACGCTTATGAACTGCTGACCATGTTCAGAGAAAAAATGTCATATGGGCCTTAGCATGTTGCTCAGTTGCGTAATCTTTTGAAATGTATTCTAGGTGTCAGAAGAGCAAGGGCAAGAAAACCCGGCAGACCACGATCCTATTCATGATCAGAGCTGGTATTTAGACCGGTCATTGAGAAAGCGTCTTCATCAAGAGTATGGAGTTCAAGGGTGGGCTATTGTACAGTTCCTTGGAGATGTGGTGTTTATCCCAGCAGGAGCTCCACATCAGGCAAGAATCATTACTTTTTCTTTAGTCTGTTTATTCCGTGAGTTTTGAATTTGTTACTGATGTGGTTTGGTGTTTTCCAGGTTCATAACTTATATAGCTGTATCAAAGTGGCTGAAGATTTTGTTTCTCCAGAGCATGTTAAACACTGCTTCTGGCTTACTCAGGAATTCCGATATCTGTCACAGACTCATACCAATCATGAAGATAAATTACAGGTAAAATAGCACCGATTCCTGGCATTCTCTGGCTATGGCTTCATGAGCCATTCTTGATCTTATAGTCAGTGAACTTGGTCTATTACACTTAGGACAATGAGTTGCCATCATTGGCTTTACCTTAACATCTAGTTCTACTATCTATTTAAGTGAAAGAGGAACAAACCTAGACGAAGTCTCACCTTGGTTTGACTTGCTGCTGTTTGAGGCTCTGACTTATGATCCTGACTAAGCTGCCAGTCAAGAGTCTTGAACATGGTGCTTGACCTTTAGTGTTGTAGTGTTCTCATCACCCGTAGGTAAAGCGGAACTGAATCTCGAGGGTTAAAAGAGGCATGAGGGGGTATGTTTTGAAAAGGATTTCAATAGTAAATTATGTCATACAGCTTCATTTGGAAAATTAGGGAAATAACTCTGGAGAATAATAAAGCTGTACCTTGGAACTTGCCTCTCCCCTGTGCTCACAAGTAGGTAGGTCCATGTGGCACCAAAGCCTGTATGAGGGGGACCAAAAAAAAATCTGGAATTAACTTTTGATGGGCAGGCCCCTTGGAGTACAGGCTTTCCCTCCTACGTAAGTGTTCTAGGAACCCTTCGGCATTAGTATACCAGCTAGCATTGTTGTGAGAGGCTGCGTTGCGGAAGAAACATCCCAAGTTGTGGCAAACAGGTGCCTGCTGCTTCCAACATGACATTTTGCCATGACATACCTGCCCACACTGCGCTTGAGTGTTCATGAGTTTTTGACCCAAAGTGGCATTGACCCCATTCTCCACCCTCTCTACCCGCCTGTCCTCACCCCGAGTGACTCTTGTCTGTTTCCCTGGATGAAAAAAAGTTCTTGAAGGGCAACGGTTTGCAGATGTCGAAGAGGTGAGACAAAACCAGCAGAAGCACTCAAAGGCATCAACATTGATGAGTGCACAAACTGTCAAGAGTAGTGGAAAAAGTATCTCCATAGGTGTATGGCATCAAACAGAGAGTGCGTTGAAGATGGCTGAAGTTTAAACATACAAGAATAAATACACATTGTTCATAAATAAATTCCGGATTTTGGGGGGCCCCCTTCATAGGAGATCAATGGGCTTTTGGGTTCTGTAAAGGAGTCACGGGTTTAAAATGCGTATGAAGTACTGGCCTGAAGGAGCCCAGGGGTCTTTCCAAGATTGGCATTTCAGATGGAATGTTGAGTTTTGACATCCAGAGAAGGCAATAAAATTGGCAGGGGGGAATGTTTATTGTTAGTGACAGATGTTGATTTAATGGTAAAATGACCATCCTCCCATTCTTTTTAGGTGAAGAATGTTATCTACCATGCAGTGAAAGATGCAGTTGCTATGCTGAAAGCCAGTGAGTCCAGTTTTGGCAAACCTTAATCTCCCAGCACATTGGAACTGAATTACTGGCAGCTGTTCAAACTCTTCAGGCAGGATTCCTGTGGACTTTGAGATTCATGTTACCTCATCTTCTTTTTTAAACTGTACCCGACTTGTGAGGGTACTCTAATATATATTTCTAGTGTTTACAAACACTAAATGTGTATATGTAGTAACTATTTACAGAACATGCATCCTTAAACTGTGACTTCTCACCTAGTGCGGAACTTTTGCCAGGCTGTTAAAACAAAACCTCCTGTGGGCTCTGGAACAATACCTGCAGTTTTTCGCCAGCTGTTTGGACAACTTAGTCAAATTGGGTTTATAGCTACTAGGACCACCGAGCAGTTTATTTGGGTTGTCTCTTGATTTGCGTCTGTCCGAATACCTTCTCCCTCGCCCCCTGAGGCCCAGAAGAGCAGTGGAGGAAGTGACAGCTGATGATGCAGTTCTCATTGTAGCGCATAGGACTGGCATTCTATAGCAGAAATCAACTACTGTACAATCCTTGGGGTTAACCATCTTTAGTTAAATGAAATTTTAACTTAAATGAAGCTTTGCTAATTTTAAGTGTAAGCATTTTGCATTAAAATATTCATACGTTTTGGTTTCGTTTTTGGGTGTTTTTTTTAGCATGATCCTTTCATTGTGGATTCGACATACCTTTTATCCAAATGCAGATGTGAGAGATTGTTCCAGGTACTCTTCTTAAAAGCAAGGAAATTAGATGCTGCAGTGATGTATTAGTGATTGTTACAAAGCTAGCTAACATGGAAATTTCTCCCCAGCCAGGTGAAAACCCAATCACAACTTTTGCAAAGAAATACCACCCATTAATTAAATTCAGAAAAGAAAGTTAACCACATACACAAAAAAGTGACTAGTTAAGTGGTTCTAAAAAGGTAAGAGAGTGAAACATTTTGTCTCCTGGCACTTTGTAATATAAGTTTATGGAGGAAAAGGAAATTATCGGAAGTTTTAATATAATAGTACCTAAAACAGTCATTTCTTTGAAGGGAGGAAATTCATAAAGAAGGGTCTTTCTGTAGCCTGCTGATTCTCCTTAGGCTGTTTCCTAAGGGAATTAAATTGAAATCAAGCAGTATAGACAAGGCCTAGAGCTGCATAGGAGGTCAAAGGGTTGGTGTAAATTTAAGAAGCAATTGCCAAATACAGCGTCATCAGATTTGCTGTTTTCCTCCATGAGTTTTCTGATTTTAGGTCTTAAATTAGGTCTTTGATCTATTTTTACTTATTATTTTTACTTATTATTTTTGGTTTGTGGTAAGGGTTCCACTTCGTTCTTTTGAATGTGGATATCCAGTTTTCCTAAAAACATACAGAGCCTGTTCTTTCCCCCACTGAATGGTCTTGGCACCTAGTTAAAAATCAATTGATCATAGATGTGAAAGCTTAGTATTAGGCTCTCAAACTATTCCATTGGTCTACACATCTGTCCATAGGCCAGTACTACACTGCTTTGATTTCTGTAACTTTGTAATAAGTTTTAAAATCAAGAACTGTGAGTTATCCAACTTGGTTCTTTTTTTTTCTTGGGTTGTTTTTAAATAGGGTCCTTTGAAATTCCATGGGTTCTTCTTTTTCTGCAAAACACCATCTGGGTTTTGATAGAGATTGCATTGAGCCTGTATATTGCTTTGGGTAGTATGTCATTTTAAAGATAGTAAGTCTTACAATCCACGAAGTCCCACTTATTGATGTCTTCTTTCATTTCTTTGAGCAATGTTTCATAGTTGTCAGTGCATGAGTTTTACATCTCCTTGATTAAATTTATTCCTGAGTTTATTCTTTTTTATGCTATTGTAAATGGAATTATTTTCTTCATTTTATTTTTGTATTGTTCATTTGTATTTTACAGCTTTACGTATAAGAGCATGTGTATGAACGGATAATCTTACTTCTTCCTTTCTAATCTAGATGCCTTTCATTCCTTTTTCTTGCCTGTTTGCTCTAACTAGAATTTCCAATTCCGTGTTAAATAAAAGTAGTTAAAGTGGGCTTCTTTGTCTTGTTCCTGATCTTTGGGGAAAAGTTTTCAGTCTTTCACTTTTGAGTGATTTCACTGTGCCTTTTTCGTCGTGGCCTTTATCCTGTAAAGGAAGTTCCCAACTATTTCTAGTTTTGTTTTAACCCTGAAAGGGTGGCTGGATTTTATCAGATGTTTTGTCTGTATCAGTAGAGATCATTGACTATGGGGTAGGAGCAAAAGTTATTAAAATCAGGTAAGAAAGAGAGAACCAATTTAACACAAATAAAAAGGATTACATGAGAATGTTATGGACAATTGTATCTCAAAATACTGGATAATCCAAATGGACAACTTCCACACACAAAAGTTGACAAAAAATACGAATAGACCTATTACTAGTAAGGAAACTTAATCAGTAATCAAAAACCTACCAACAAAGAAAACCTTAGGACAAGATGGTTTCATTGGTGAATTTTATAATACATTATAGATGAATAAACACTAAGCCTTCTTAAACTCTTCCCTAAAAAACTGGAGACGGGAACACTTCCTAAGTCATCAAATGAGACCATCAATATTCTGGTACTAAAGTCAGACAGATACCATAAGAAAATGGAGAACTACAAGTACCCCTTATGGTTATAGGTGCAAAAATCCTCACAATACTAGAAAATTGAATCCAGCAGCAATATTAAAAGGGTTAACGGGGAGACACCCCTTATCGACAAGGCCTGAACAAAGCATATTTGTATACCTAACCCTAAACTGTACCCCACAGTATCAAAATAAAAAATACTGATATTAAAAAAAAAAGATTATACACCATGGCCAACTGAATTTATCCCAGGAATGCAATGGTGGTTCAACATACGAAAATTATTCAACATAATATACCACATTAATTGAAGGGAGTAAAATGTTTCATACCTGATTTTAGTAACTTTTGCTCCTACCCTATAGTTAGTCTAGCTCTGTGTTTGTTCATTTTGTTGATCTTTTTATGGAACCATCTTTTACCGATTTTCTGTATTGTTTATGCTCTGATCTTTATGTATTCATTCTTCTAGCTTCGGGTTTAGTTTGCTCTGTCTAGTTGCTTAAGGTATACAGTTAGGTTTTTGCTACAGTCTGAATGTTACCCCCAAAATTCATATATTGCAATCTCATACCCCATGTGAGAGTACTGAGGGTGAGGCCTTTGTGAAATAACTAAGTCATGAGGGCTTCACCCTCATGAGTGGGAATTGGCACCCTCATAAAAAAAGGCTCAAGCAAGTTCCCTTGCCCTTTCTGAAATGTGAGGACACAGCTAGAAGGCACCACCCGTGAAGCAGAGAACAAGCCCTCACCAGACACCAGATCTGCTGGCACCCTTATCTTGGACTTCCCAGCCTCTGGTATTGTAAGCAAGTAAATTTCTGTTGTGAATTACCCAGTCTACAGTGTATTATTATAGCAGTTCACATGTTCCAAGACAGTTGATTTGAAGTCTTCCTCCTCTTTTAATAAAGGTACTTACAGCCATACATTTCCCTCTGGGTACTACTTTTGCTACATCCTTTCTGTTTTAGCATGTTTTCATTTTTCTTTGTCTCTGGTATTTTTTAATTTCTCTTGTGATTTCTTTCTTGACCCTTTGGTTGTTTAAGCTTGTGTTCTTTAATTTCCATTTGATATTTATGAGTTTTTCAGTTTTCCTCTATTATTGATGTCTAATTTAATTCTATTGTCAGAAAAGATATTTTGTATGATTTGTTTTCTTCTTTCTTGAGTTAGAGTTGCACTCTGTTATCCTGACCTCCTTGGCTCAGGCGATCCTTACACCTCAACCACCCAAGTAGCTGGGGCTACAGGCATGTGCTACCATGCCCAGCAATTTTTTTTAATTTTTGAGAAATGAGGTCTCATCGTGTTGCCTAGGCTGGTCTCAAATTCCTGGGCTCAAACAATCCTCATGCCTCCACCTCCCAAAGTACAGGATTATAGGCATGAGCCACCATGCCCAGTGATTTCTAAAGTTCTTGAGAATTGTTTTGTGGCCTAACATACCGTTTATCCTGAAGAATGTTCCATTTGCATTTGAGAACAGTATGTATTTTACTGCTGTTAGGTGGATCAGTGTGTGTGTTAGGTCTAACTTGGTATATTATAGCATTGTTCAAGTCTTATTTATTTTCTGCCTGGTTATTATGTTATTTCAAGTAGGATATTGAAACCTCCAACTATTATTATAGAACTATTTCTGCCTAACTCTGGTGATTTTAGCTTTCATCTCCTGGAGTTTTGTGTTAGATGCATATATGCTCATGACCATTATGTGTCGTCTTGATGGACTTTTCCTTTTATCAACATGTAATGTCCTTCTCTGTCTCTTGTATTCTTTTTAACTGAAGTCTGTTTTGTTGGCTATCTACACCCCAGCTCTCTTGTGGTTATTATCACCATGGAATTTTTCCCATCCTTTTAACCTTTTTTCTTTGTATCTGAGTCAGGATATAGTTGAAACATGTTTTTTTATCTATTTTCTCAGTCTGTTTTTGGAGAGTCTAATGCATGTATGTATATAGTTAGATGGCTCCTGTTGCTTGGCTATTAGTTTTCTAATATCTTAATTTCTTAAGTTCTTTTCGATACTCAGTTTCTCCATTTACTGCTTTATTTCATATTTATTTAAGATTTTTTACTGTACCATTTGACTCCCCTTTTCTTGCCTTGTATTTTTTTATTTTCTAAGTGGTTCCCTAAGGTGTTGCAATTAACATCTTAAAACTTTACAAACTTCATTTCAACGGTATACAAAAACTCCGCTCTTATACATCTTCATCTCTGGTTTTATTGTTTTGGGCACAGATTACATCTCTATACATTGTGCCCATTAACACAGACTTAATTAATTAACTGTGGTGCTTTTGTCTTTAAATGACAGGGGGAAAAAAAAGATGAGTTACAAATCAAAAGTATATAGTATTACTGGCTTTTGTATATACTTATTATTACCCTTACTGGTGATATTTCTGTCTTTGGTATGGCTTTAAGCTACCATCTTGTGTTGCTCCATTTCAGCTGTGAGGTTTTACTTCTGCATTTACTGTTTTTCAGGGCATGTCTTAAGTTTCTCTTTCATTCTTGAAGGGTAGTTTTGCTGGATGTATAATTCTTCGTTGACAGCCTTTTCTCTTTCAGCACCTTAAATATGCTATCCTCCCTTCTGGCCTCCACAGTTTCTGATAAGACATTATGTGTTACTCTGATTAAAGACTGTACATGTAGAGTCCCTTCCTTTTCGCTGCTTTAAAGGTTGTCTTTTTCTTCCAGTCGTTTGACTATCATGCGTCTCATTGGATTCCTTTGAGTTTATCCTGTTCGGAATTCATTGAGTTTTTTGAATGGATAGATTCTCTCAGACTTGGAAGGTAGTCAGCCATTGTTTCTTCAAATGTTGTTTGTTCCTTTTTCCCTTCTCCTTTGAGATGGCCATAATATGTACACTGGTGAGATCTGTCTCCCACACGTCCCTCAGGCTGTGTTGACTTTTCTTCTTTTTTCATTCTGCTCCTAAAACTGAGTGAGTTGTTCAGTTATTCCATTGTCATTTCCATTATTACACATTTCGGCTCCAGAGTATCTGTGAGTACATCTTACAATTTCTCTTTATTGATGTTTTCATTTTGTTCATAGTGTTTTCCTGGTTTCCTTTAGTTCACTGTCCATAGTTTCCTTTGCTTCCCCAGCTTTTCTTCCCAGGTTTTTGCTCCAATTATATTTTGCCTCAGGCAGGGGCACTGTTTCTGATTGCCTCGCAATGTTCCCAAGCAATGCCTGATGCTTTTCTGCCAAGGTTTTCAGGTAGGCAAACAGGAGATGACACGCACCTAGTCTCCCAGACAGATTGAGACAAACATTTGTGAATAAGGTTCTGCCGTGTTCCCTGTGGAACCAGGAACCAGGGTTGCACACTGAGAATGTGGGCTACTGTCTTCAAGACAGCAGCCATGCTGGGAGGGGGTGGGGAAAGTTAAAATGACACAAAACTTTCTTACCCTTGTTTCTGTGGAGTCTGAGTCTCTCTCTGTCGCCCAGCCCAGAGCAGTGGCACAATCATGGCTCATTGCGGTCTTCATACTTGGCTCAGGTGATCTTCCATCTCAGCTTCCCAAAGTAGCTGGGTCTGCAGGCGTACTACATGCCTGGCTAATTTTTATTTTTTGTAGAGACAAGGTCTTGCTATGCCCCGGCTGGTCTCAGACTCCTGGCCTTCAGCAACCCTCCTGCCTCAGCTTACCCAAATTGCTGGGATTACAGGCGTGAGCCACCAATACTGGCCACCACTTTTTTCTTGATTCAGCATTTAATTCAGCATTCACTTGATTGCTGTACACCTTTGTTTTCCAGAGATCTAACAGGCTTTTTTTTCCATGTTTCTGTGGAGGGATAGGTGTTTGGAGCTGTCTGCTCATTTTGCTGGTATTCTATAAACGTTTTTGAAACTACAATTATGTATAAGGAGAATTTCCCTACTGTGGCTTAGACCTGAATTTCTGAAATGGTTTGTAGCTGGTGGATGGATGTTAATTCTGTTGTCTTAAAAGAAAACTGTCTTAGTCACAAAAAATATTGGGAAAAGCATATGAAAGCCTCTGAAAAGTTAAAAAGAAACCATTTTGTGTTTAACCATTTTCCAAGTTTACTTCACTAAGTAAGATCCTTCCTCATAAAACAGATTAGCATTTGTAAAGCACCTGTCACTAGGATAGGACAAGGAAAATGGGCCCAGTTACTCAACGCTTAAAAGCTCTATGATTTTTCAGTTGATTATAGGATTGAAGGTTGGGGAGAGGCCGGAGCAGACACGACTCAGTGCTGTTGGGAACAGATGAGTCATAACCCCTTCTCCCCAGGAGTCACAAAACAAACAAGACAAGGGTGCCTATGGCCATCTGAGCTGTATAACTGCTAAGTGTTTGGGAAGACAACTCTTTTTATGAGTCGGAGTCTCACTCTCGCCCAGGCTGGAGTGCAGTGGCACGCTCACAGCCACTGCAGCCTTGACCTGCTGGATCAGGCGATCCTTCCACCTCCACCTTCCAAGTAGCTGGAACTGCAGGCATGTGCCACCATGCGCAGCTAATTTTTTGGTTTTATTGTAGAGATGAGGTCTCGCCAAGTTGTCCGGGATGGTCTTGAACCCGTGGGCTCAGGCAGTCCTCTCAGCCTCCCAAAGTGCCGGGATTATAGGTGTGAGCCCCGCACCTGGCTGGGACGACATGTAACAAGAGAATGGGGAGTTGGGAGGGAGAGGGAAGGTCAGGCTACAGCATGCCTAGAGTGAACTGCTGGGTGACCACCTCAAGCTAGAAAGCGACTTCTAAAGAGTAAGCTGTGGTTCAAAACCAAACATGGGATGGTGGCATGGAATGACAGTCTGAGTGACCTTGGAGTTGAATAATGGTTTTATTAGGGCACCAAGCAGATCCTGTGTGTGACAGGGTGGGAAAGGGGGAGGGCGGGGTGGGAGCTGGCGCTGTTGCTGGACCCAAGTTGAGTACCTGAGGCCAGGTGAACTTTTACTGCAGGTCTTACGACCACTGTCTGCCGTCCAGATCCTAGACCCCTTCAGGACTAAGTACTGACTCACTCTGTGTCCAGTGATAATCCAGATGAGTGTTGGGGGGAAGAAGGCATACATGAGCTCAAAGTGCTCTCCTTCGCTGAAAGCGAGAATGGAAAAACATGACCTCTTCAAAAATTACAACTAACCGCCTGTGTTTGGATCATTTTATTTGAATGGCTCAGAGAGAGGCTGTCATTATTCACTCTGGCTATCCATCCATCCACCCAGATAAAGTTTAACTGTCCACATAAGAAAAAATGCTCAGGGATCATAAGCATTTTGTAATTCTAACATTCTGTGAAGAAACTAGCTGAATTAATGCAACCATAAAACAGTATTCTATCATTGAGATGTCAGTTCTTCCCAATGAGACCATGAATTCAATGCAATCCCAATAAAAACCCCAAGTTATTTTTGTGGACCTTGACAGGCCAATTCTAAAGTTCACACAAAAGCAAAAGACCTAGAACAGCCGGCACAATACCGAAAGAGGAAAAGTCAGAGGACTGATACCACCCAACTCTAAGACTTAACTGAAAAGCTACAGTAATCCAGACAGTGTAGTATTACACAAAGCAATCACCGGAAAGGAACAGAAGCCCAGAAATAGGTCCACACAAATATAGTCAACTGATCTTTTGACAAGGGAAGAATGCAATATCATAGAAAAAAGATAGTCTTTCATCAAATGGTGCTGGACACTCACATGGAAAAAGATGAATCTAAACACTGGCCTTCCATAAAAATGTCAAGTAGGTCGCAGGCCTAATTGTAAAATGCAGAATTGTGACTCCTAGAGAATGACATGGGAGAAAATCTACATGACCTCTGGTTTGGCAATGAGTTTTTAAAATACAGCATGAAAGGCACAATCCATGAAAGAAATTATAGATAAGCTGGCTCTCAATAAAATTAATAACAGCTCTGAGAAAGACACTGTCATGTGAATGAGAAGACAAACCACAGATGGGATAAAATATTTGCAAAAAGGCCCATCTGATAAAGGACTGTTACCCAAAATACATAACACTTAAAATTTGATAACAGACCCCCTGCCCAAAAAAATGGGCAAAAGATGCAAACAGACAAAACTCACCAAGATGATGACGAACAGATGGCAAGCAAGTATATTAAAAGATGTTCCACGCCATAGGTAGATCAGGGGATTGCAAATTTAAAACCACAAGGTACCACCACATACCTATTATAATATCCAGAACCCAGAACTTGACCAGATGCTGGCAGGGGTGTGGAGCAAACAGGAACTCTCATTCATTGCTGCTGGACATGCACAAGGTACGGTCACTTCGGCAGTTTCTTATAAAACTAGACATTGGCTTACCACATGTTCCAGCAGTAGTGCTCCTTGGCATGTTTTCAAATGAACTAAAAACTTTCCACCCACACAGAAACCTGCACACAGATGTTTATAGCCGCGTTATTCATAATTGCCAAAACCTGGAAGCACACAAGTCTTTCAGTAGGTGACTGGATAATCTGTACATCCAGACAATGGAGTATTACTTGGCACTAAAAATAAGTGAGCTATCAAAGCCATGAAATGATATGGAGGAACATTAATTGCATATTTCGAAGTGAAAGAAACCCGACAGAAAGGCTACATCCTGTATGAGTCCAACTTTGTGACATTCTAGAAAAGGCAAAACTATGGAGACGGTAAAAAGACTGATAACCAGTTGCCAGACGTTAGCTGCTGGGGGGACAGGGTGGCTAGGTAGAGTACAGACTCTTTAGGACAGTGTATTCTGCACAATACTATGCTAATGGATACATCTCATGATACATCTGTCCAAACCCAAAGAGCATATACAGCCAAGAGTGAACCTAATATAAACTGTGGTCTTTGGGAGACAACGTGTTGGTGTAGGTTTACTGACTGTAACGAATGTACCACTCTGGTGTGGTAGCTGCTAGTGGTAGAGGCCTGTGCAGGGGGACAGGGGTACATGAGAAATTTCTGTACTTTTGCTCAATATTGCTGTGAACCTGATCTAAAACACATTCTTTTTAAAACATTTTAAACAACTATGCCCTGAAGATGAAATCAAGAGCAGCAGGGAGGTCCCCCAGATTCAAGACTGTCGTGTATTTTGAGACTGGAAGGCCCCACTGCAGCCACGCCTGACATAAGGGTCCCATCTCCACCAGCCAGCCCGAGAGAGAATGGTTGGGCTATTTTCCTGTCAGGCTCAGCGCGCCCAGGACTTGGCTCCAAGGGAGCTGAGTCTGAGCCACTTGTCAGTTCCCAGGCTGAGCTGTTTTCCACATTTGTGAAGACTGAGATCGCCTACGTCAAAGAGCCTTTTAAACTGTCAAGCACAGACACATACTTGTATACAGACGGGTGGGACTTGGTGATGATGCATGGCCACACCTTGCCTCTCACGGCCAGCTCCTGACTCCGAGAAAGAGCTGCTGGGTAGGTCCTTGTCCCAAGCACAGGACAACTAGCTCCAAGCAAGCACAGGCAACCTGAGAGGCAGAAGAGAACTAGTCCCACAGCATCTGTCTGGGGTGCAACTTGCAGTGGGCAGGAGGGACAAAAGCTGCAAGCACAGGCACACACAGACCCCAGGACGTAGCACAGCCGTCCACCAACAGGACGAGGATCACGATGCCCAAGACTCCTGGTTACACGGACGGCACGCAAGCATGGCCCCCGCGCCACGCCGTGTCTGGGAAGGCAGGGCGCAGCATCCACAGAGCGGAAGTTGCCATGCTGGGCTTCCGAGTCCCACACACCGGGCTGGGTGGTATGGCGCTTCTCTCCAAGGCCAACATTTGAAACTGCCTGAGGCAGCAACATCCTGCAAGTTCACTGCACGTGACAGTCTCCAGTGGGGCCAAGTGGTACAGCAGAAATTTATTAAAATGTGTATATATATATATATATATATATATATATAGATATAGATATAGTGTTTTACAGAAGAAAAAAGTCCTCAACATTCAGGCAATCACCTCTATTCCCAAAAGTGCTTCATGAAAAGAAGATGGATTTCCTTCCCCTCCCCCCCAATAAAATATCTGTGTATACTCCTGAAAATAATTCATTTAGTTACACCAGCTTAGTAAGAACAAAACCTCTGCAGAGAAGAGACTGGCAGAGAATCTTCTCTCCGGGGTGATGCGTCCCCGCAGAGGAGTAGTGCAGAGACAGACAAAACGGCGGCGGCAGGTGGGCCATGGAGCGCCTGGGGGCCTGGCCGGGCAGCCCCTAGCTTCTCAGCGTGGCCAGCCGGGACTGCATGGCCTCCAGAGCCTCTTCCTCCTCCTCGTCGTCTGAGGCTGCCATGGCTCCCAGCGGTTCAGGTTCCGGAAGGGCGTCGGTCACTTTACTGGGCGCTTTGCCCAGGGCTCCTGAAAAGACAGCACCAAGATCAGCACCACGCTGGCTCCAGGAAGTGGCCCCTCAACCTCCCCTGCCTTTCACTCCTGGAGCAGCCTAACAAGACGCAGAAATGGGGGGTAAAACAAGCATTTGGGGAGCTTCGCTACAAACAGCCACTTGTAAGATGCCACAGTCGTAGTAATGGAAAGGGTTTTCAGAAACTTGGTTCTGAAGGTCCCTAAGTTCCTTAACACTACTGAAAACTTAATTTGAAATCTCTGAGTAAAGCTAAACTATTTCTAAATCTTCATAAACGGTTTTACTGGAGTAAATGCCTTCTTTCTCACAACAACTTAAAGTCAACAAATGAACAAAAATTAAATCCCATCCATTTTTAAATTAAACATAAAATCAGAAAATCCAGAAGTAAAAATGAAGTTTACAAGCTCATTAACTATCACTCACTTTGTTTATCCCCCTTCCAGACTTCCTCTATAGACAAGTCTTTTAAAAGTGTGTAGGGATTTTTTTCACATAATATGTTGTGACCATCTTTCCATAGTAATATTTAACTATTAGTTATGTCACAACTGTATAGTATTTCATTAAAATAGATAGTACATAACTGATTCCATCAACAGTCTATTACTAGGACTTAGCTTATTTCAAACTTTTCAATATAAGTAATGCTTCTACAGACATCCTTGATTTAAATATTTTGGTTCATTCTTAATTATTTCATTAGCGTAAACTCCCATAAGTCAGTCTGTTGAGGACAAGGGCTTTTGACAGCTACTGCCAAACTCTTTTTAAGAAAGATACCCGCACATGCATGTTCACTGCAGCGCTATTCACAATAACAAAAACATGGCACCAACCTACTGCCCATCAAGTGGCCTGAGTTTTTAAAAAGTGGTACATATACATGATGGAATATTATGCAGTTGTAAAGAAGCACACAATCACAGACTCCACAGCAACTTGGATGGATTTAGAGTTTATCATACTCAGTGATCTATCACAGAAACAACTGAGTACCACATTTCTCACTCATAAGTGGATCCTGAACATTTACTGTAACACTGTAAGAAAGGGAGTAGCAGGACACTACGGAGAGGGGGCACACAACATCACTGAGGGTACCCGATTCCAAACCGAGTGAAGTGAGTACCAATGGGAGGCCCAAACTTCACCTGTGCGATGACTGTTTACATACCTAATCCTGTATTGTACCGTTAAAATAAATTGTTAAAAAAGTCTATACCAATTTAAGTTCTCAGTAGCAGAATATGAGAGCAGTATCTTCCCCTTACCATTATGAAAACTCTAGAAATTTTAAGAATTTTTTATCTTTGTGTTTTTTTAAAGATGGTTATAGAAATTGTGTTTACTTTGAGAAATAACTTGCATACTCTAAAATTTTGAAAATGTAGAAGGGAGTTAAAGCCTAAAGAAAAAGTTCTGAGTTAATGTGGGGAATGCAGGAGGAAGGGCCGTAAAAGGGGAGGAGAGAGGATGAATCTCTTTGCCGTACCCGCTGTAATTTCAAACAGAATTTTGTCGATTTCCATTTCGGCTTCTTCCTCCATTTCTTCCTGGTCATCCATGCTTTCGAAGGTGTCCTCTAACATCTCCTCTATGATCCCAGCCTAAACACAGAATCAACATGTCACTTCCCTCAGCTGGCACATCTGCTTCCATCAGAAACCCAGACACCCTCCAGGGCGACCTCTCGCCTCTCTCAGTCCAGTTCACACTTTCGAGGGCTGAGACACGAGACACTTGGCTGAAGGAAACATGGGATGCTGTCCTCTGCCGAAAGGCAAGAGGCCACAGGGAAGCGGCTCTCTAGACTTGGCACTGAGATTGGGTTGTGCCACCATCGCCGCTCAGCAGAGCTCTGAAGGTCACCCAGACCATCATGGTGGAACTCGGGAACCACCTGCAGACAGAAGAACACATTCCCCAAGCTGTCTGGGGAAGTATCTGCCCTAACGCTGCAGATATCTTCTGTGACTGCAGGGGCTGGAACACGGTATGAAGGGTGGTTGGAGCCATGGGAGACACCCTGACAACCAATGCCAGGGGCGGGGCCTGAAGAGGTCACAGTTCCTGGCCTAGGGCAACCTGGCAGGTCTGCAAGGACCAATCAGTTCACCAAAGCCTGGCCACCCACTCCCAGGAGAACTAAGACCGCCTCTGGACCCGACAAGGCCAAGGTCAGACACTCCTGGAGGCCCAGGGTGTGGCAGCTGTTGGTCGCTGGCCAGTCAGCCTCCATTCACAAGGAAGCACAGCACCACCGCAGGCAAAGGGCCTGACACCGCCAACCCGACCAGGCCCTGCGGTCTGCTCAGTTGTGTCCTCTGCTCCCAGGAAGGCCCCACTGAGTGTTCTTTGTCATTGAAGCCAAGGGTCAGAAGAGCACCCTCCACCGTCAGAAGAGAAGCGGCCGACATCCTGTGCAGAAGAGGCAAGAGAGGGCTGCATGGCGGTGGAGGGCGGTGGGGAGCACGGGTTCAGGCTTGAGGGAGTTGCCAGAAGAGGAGAGTCCTGACTGCCTCGCAACCCGGAAGAGCTGAGCCCCATGCTCCGTGCCTTGCCGTTGTGGTGATCTGAGCAGAGGGGCCTGTGTGGCCCTTTTGGCCCGGCCGCCACCCCTGGACTCAGCCAGGGTCCAACTCTTGACGGACAATGCTGAGATCAGACTTAAAGTGCTCCTCTGTCCTGCTTGCCTTTCTACTTCCAGACCACTGACGCGACTCTTCGTGACACGAATGTAGCTGGTACCCCATTCTGCCCACTCTCAGACCCTTTATTTGCCACCAAAATGCACAAATGAGTTCCACTCATGGTCACCCAGGCGGAGGCCAGGGCCTTCCCGAACGGAAGTCATCTTAGTGCTGGGGGCTACTGTGAGAGCGTCGATAAAGACGTGCTCAGTGGCTGAAGAGCCCGCCAGAGCCCGAGCGTAACAGCCCTTCGCATTCTGGAGGCAGAAGTTGCCATCCGTTTACTCGTTCCATCCGCAGCCATTTATCAAATTCCTGCTGTGTCCCTGGCTCTGGGGATGAACAGGAACGAACAAGGTGGAGTCCCTGCCCTCGAGGAAGTGGGCCCCGTGGGAGGCTTCAGCACCTCCTACACACAAGCCTTCCTCCACATCTATGTCGCTCTCGGTGTTCAGAACCATTTTCTAAACAACCCTAGATTCCAAGAAGGTTTCTCTCTCCGATCTTGGTGACTCCACAAGTCAAACAAGCAGGCCTAAAGGCACTCCAAGAACAACCTTGTTACCTGGCTTTAAAGGAACGATCACCCTCCGTGTGGGGCAGGACCTCCACACACCACTGTGGAAGGCCATCCCCTCCAACCCACTTCCCTCCCTGTGGCTGCTGCCCGAGGAACGACTCCCAGACATGGGCCCTGAGCTCTTCTGTGCGGCTTTCCTGTCGGCCTTCTTGTCCAGCCCTCTCCCCCGTGCCCTACAGCCCTGGAGATGATCCAAGTTCACACACATGAAATTCCCTGGGAGGGAGGGAGGCCATTTCTGTGCACAAACCCCAGACAAGGGTTTGAGATGCACACTCCGGGCTGCCAAGCCACAGCCCTCCAATAGGAAACGGCTCATGCACGTGAGACTTCTCGCCACCATTTCCCCTGTGGCCGCTCAGCTGACGAGGCCAGACGCCCGTGCTCTGACCCCAGCTCCTCACTGACAACCAAGGGACCCGGCAGTTAGGCAAGTTACCTGGCAGCTCAAAGACTCCATGTCCTTGGTTAAAAGGGAAACAGAGACACCTGCCCCGGGTGGCTGGGAAAACTGGTTAGGACAGTGCATGTGAGATGTTCCGTCAGCGGCAGGGACTTGCAACCACACCCTTCTTGTCCCTGTCTGAAGGCCCCCGGAATCATGGCCTAGCCAGGCCCGATCCCAGGGGCAGTTTCCACTGGAGTCTGGTCTGCTGCCTGTTACTGCCAAGAAAGTCTCCTCCAGTCTCCTGGCCCATGCTGCAGCCTTCGAACCCCATCTCCCCGATCCTTCGGTGGCTGATCTCTGGTGACTCAGCCTCCCCTGGAGCTCTGTGCATACGTGTGCTTCTTCCAGGGAACACCATGGCAGTGTGGCCCAGCCTCTGCCGCCCTCAGCTCACACAGGTTCTACCAGTGTCAGCAGCTGCTCCTCTGTCCTCAAGATCCTTCCATCTGCAGCCACAGCCTGTCCATCCCCACCGACCCACAGCCCTGGCCCCTGCCGAGAGTGACTTCGCGGTTTAGAGGAGGAAGCAGGGCCAACCCCAGGTCACCTTCATCATCTCTTTGGACAGCTCTCGCATGGTGGCCTGGATTTCTGGGATCTTGACAAGACTTTGCATGGCCTTCATCACCTCTGTGCTCTTCTGCAGGGAACCAGCCACTCGCAGGACAGCTGGAAGGGAATGACACAGTCAGGACTGTTTAACATTATGGAATGAAGAGAGACACCAAAAATTAAGAGCCATTCCCACAAAGGAAAGCAGTAGCAGGTGGACTCCCATAGTTACTCATGTACCTTTATGCTACATGACTGTGCTAGCTGGCCAAGAGTCAGACTTTCCCACATTGTGGGTTCAACGAGCATGCACACCAACTGGTCAATCTGGAGAGAAAAGAAACCCGCTCAGAATGACTGCAACACCCAGGACAGGCGCTAAATGGGAGGAACAGCTCTTGGCCTTGTAAGGGCCACACTGGGAAATGGAAGGCTTCAAGCTACCAAAGCAGAGCTCCCATACTCCAGCCTATGGACAGTGCTCAGTGCAGAGCCTGTCACCAGCCCTCAGAATAACAAGCGAAACTGGGATAAGATACAGCAAACGTGTGTGTGTGTGTGTGTGTGTGTGTGTGTGTGTGTGTGTGTGTGTGTGTGTGTCAGTGTGAGGTAGCTGCAGTTCCTTGTTAGGGAAAAACCTGTGGTGTGAGATCAGGTGCATACTGCAGTCTTCTTTATGAGAAATCATGGTAGTATCAGAAAATCATCCCCTCCCCCCATATCTTTCACATGCCAAAATAAAGAGTGGGCAAATCTGCTCTGGAATTTCACGAGGCCAAGTTCTGAGAACTAACACTGGCACAGATTTCCTCCAGTGCTAAGCTGGGAGTCACTACAGGTTGGCCTCTGGTAGAATCCAGATCCTAGGAAGTTTTTACATCACAGGGAAAAAGAGCAGCCAAGGAAGTGCCTGCCTGACATATATGGCTTTCTGTTATTTTTTTCCCTAAAGGAGCAAGGAAGCTCGTTAGTTACAGAGCATACTTAATTTATCTTAACGCTGGAATGGAAAAATAAATATTAATATTACTATAATGATAGAGGAAGTGTTGAGAATCTATATGGTTGAAATAAGCAATACATTACATATGCTATTAAAATTATGTAAAAAGGCCTCTAAAATGTTAGTTACTATTGACTACTGTATAAATGTGGGAGGAAAAGCAATCAAGTCCACTCCACAGAGTTCTGTTTGAATTATAAAAGTATGATGTCTACATGCACCCGAGTTTTACCCTAATCTTCATCTTGAGTCTGTACCCAGAGCACTTAAACATGACACGTATCCAATAAACATTGTTTAAACTGAATTAGTGAAAATAAGTGAAACAATGGGAGACACTGAAAACCAGATTTGCATTTTGAACAATGCACAAATTTCTAATTATGAGAAGGACAAAAAGGAAGCATCAACATAGTAGGAAAAAGAGGACGCAAAAGTTAATTTAGAAACGAAACTCATCACAAAAAGATCTGAGTTAGTAACCGACCAAAAGAGATTGGGAAAGTGAATTCTGAAAAGGCCAAACTAACTGTGGTGTGCACTTGAAACTTGAAACAAGGAGGCTGCCAAGGTTTGAATGTGTCCCCTCCAAAATTCCTAAATTGCCACTGTAACAGTATTAAGAGGTGGGCCTTTAAGAGGTGGTTGCGCCATAAGGCTCTGCCCTTGCAGTGGGGTTGGTGCCCCTTAGAAGAGAGCCTGAAGGAGGGAGGGCTTCCGCCCTTGACCTTCCTCCTCCTGCATGTGAGGACACAGTGTTCCTACTGTCCTTTAGAGGATGCAGCCCTTACCAGGCAACTGACCCTGACAGTACCTTGATCTTCCCAACCTCCAAACTGAAATAAATTTCTGTTCATTATAAATTATCCATTCTCCAGTATTCTGCTACAGCAGCACAAAACAAACCAAAAGGTATAAAACACTGGATGAAAGCATATTTTCTATGCTCCAAAAGGAAAAAGAAGGTATGACACACAAAAATGATTTCATAACAAAGATTGTCACACCTTCAAAAGAATGAGAAGACAAGCCACAAGCTGCAAGAAAATACTTGCAAAAGACACATCTGGTAAAGGACCACTATCCATGGTGAACAAAACTCCTAAAACTCAATAATAAGAAAACAAACAACTGAATTAAAAAATAGGCAAAAGACCTGACAAGACACCTCAACAAGAAGATATGCAGACACCAAATAAGCATATGAAAGCCTGCTCAACATCATTAGATGATTGCGAATTAAAACAACAACGAGATAGGACTAAAACCCCATTGCAATAGCCAAGATCCAGGACACTGACACCACCAAGTGCTGGTGAGACCGTGGAGCCACAGGAATTCTCATCCACCCCTGTTGGGAATGCAAAAATGGGACAGTCACTATGGGAGACAGTTTGTCAGTTTCTCACAAAACCAGACATACACCTACCATATTTTCCAGCAACGGTGCTGCTTGAGATCTATCCAAATGAATTAAAAACGTATGTCCACATAAAGACCTGCACTCAGATGCTTACAGCAGTTTTCTTCATAACTGCCAGAACTTGGAAGCAACCAAGAAGACGTTCAGTATGTGTATGGACAAATAAACTCATCCATTCAGAAAAGGGAATGCTATTCAGTGCTGCAAATAAATGAGATATCAAGCCACAAAAAGATATGGAAAAAATTTAACTGCATATTTCTAAGTGAAAGAAGCCAGTCTGAAAAGGTTACAAGTTATATTATTCCAACTATATGGCATTCTAGAAAAGGTAAAACTCTGGAGACAATAGAAAGACTGGTGGTTGCCAGGGGTTCAAAGAAAAAGAATGAACAGGTAGAATACAGAGAATGTTTAGGGCAATGAAACTAGACTATTCTATATGATACTACAGTGTGAGATATATGTCATTACACATTTGTCCAAAAATGTACAACACCAAGAGGGAACCTAATGTAAACTACAGACTTTGGAGATAATGATGTGTCAGTGTAGGCTAATTGATTTGAACAAATGTATCACTCTGGTGTGGTTGTTGACGGTAGTGGAGGCTACAGGCATATGTGGAAACTCTGTACCTTTCACCCAGTTTTGCTGTGAACCTAAAACTGCTCAAAACATGGGTTTACTAAAAAATAAAAACCACCATGCCCTGAAGGTGAAATCAAGAGTAACAAGAAGGTTCCCTGGATTCAAGACTGCCACCCTGAATTGGACACTGAAGGACCCACCGCAGCAACAGCTGACATCAGGACTTCCCTCCAGAATCTCCAACAGCTGGCTGGGCTTTTTTCCTGCCTGGTTATAATTCAGTGCCCATACAACTTGGAAGTGGAAGGATCACCTGAGACCAACAGGTCGAGGCTGCCATGAGTGTGCCACTGCACTCCAGCCCAGGCGACAGAGTAAGACTGACTCCCAAAACAAAACAAAACAAAATGAAAAACAGGCCACTTAAAATTGAGAATTACAATAAATAAGATTATGAGAAAATATGGAATCTTATGACATTTCACAATAAAGACAAATGAAATCTCAGAAACATGATATTAAAAACATACAAGCCTCAAAAATAAACTTTTTTTTTGAGTTGGAGTCTCACTCCGTCACCCAGGCTGGAGTGCAGTGGCACCCTCATGGCCACCCCCAGCACTGACCCACTGGACTCCAGCGATCCTTCCACCTCAGCCTTCCAAGTAGCTGGAACTATAGGCGTGTGCTACCGTCAGAGCCCAGCAGGTCTGGGCGACAGAAAAAAAAAAAAGATACTTCTTCCTTGTAAAAAAGCTAAGGAAAAAAAGTTAAATCATACAAACATCTAACATATAATAAACAATACAGAATAGAAAAATAAAAAAGAAAAAGAAGACAGTGAAAAATTCTATAACATGGGGAACCAAAGCCAAAGGGGATGACAGTCATTGAAGAATACTGTGGTGGGGTGCAGTGGCTCACGCCTATAATCCCAGAACTTTGGGAGGCCACGGTGAGAGGATTGCCTGAGCCCACGGGTTCGAGACCAGCTTGGGCAATTTGGCAAGACCTCATCTCTACAATAAATAAAAAATTAGCCAGGCATGGTGGCACATCCCTGTAGTTCCAACTCCTAGGAAGGCTGAAGCAGAAGGATCACATGAGCCCAGCAGGCCGATGCTGCAGTAGCCGTGAGCATTATGCAGCTGTATTCCACTGTGGGTGACAGAGTGAGACTCCAACGCAAAAAAAAAAAAAAAAAAAAAAGAATACTGTAATCATGCACATTTGGTAAACTTTCAAAAGTTAGAGTCATGTTTGTTTATGACTATTGTGCTACCATTTGAAAAAGTAATTTGAAGTGGTTTATTAAAAAGACATACATGGGCCGGGTTTGGTGGCTCAGCTTGCAATCCCAGCAATTTGGGAGGCCGAGGCAAGTGAATTGCCTGAGCCCGCAGGTTCGAGACCCCTCTTGGCAACTTGGCGAGACCTCGTCTTTACAATAAATCAAAAATGAGCTGGGCGTGGTAGCACACACCTATCGTTCTGGTTCCTTGGAAGGTTGAGGCGGAAGGATCACCAGAGCCCAGCAGGTCAAGGCTGCGGTGGCCGGGAGCGTCCACTGCACTCCAGTCTGGGCATCCACTCCACTCCAACTCAAAAAACAAACAAACAAAAAAGACATATATGGCAGATACAATAAAATGAACACAAAAGCTCAAAAGGGTGAGCTAATTCCATCAAGATGGGCCAGAGTCTCTCAACCACTGCACTACTGTCTATGCATGCCAATGATTCTTTTGTTGCAGGTGGTTGCTTCACACACTCTGGGGTGTTCAGCAGTGCCCCAGATTACGCCTGCTGAATGCCAGTGGTAGTACGCACTTTCTCCCCAGTTGTGACAACCAAAGATGTCTCCAAACACTGCCAAATGTCCCCTGAGGGGCAAAAAATGTCTTATTGAGAATCCATGACCTGGCCTAAAAAAGCTCCTTCAACTGAGATTAGGTTTAGCTGTGAGCATTTCCTCCCTCCCTTCCTCCCTCCCTCCCCTCCCTGTCGGAGACTCACTCTGTTGTCCAGGCTAGAGTGCAGTGGCACACTAACAGCCACCTTAGCCTCGACCTACTGGGCTCAGCCGATCCTTCTGCCTCA